GACTCAAGATGAGATGTGAGGAATTTGTTGATCAAAGACTAAAAGACCTTGCTAATAACAGAAAGAAGACTGATCAAACGATAGTTGGAGGGGTCAGAATTTTCTCCAGAGTTTTTGAATATTGGAACCACAGATGCCATTTTCCAACAAGCAGGAAAACAAGACTCAGTCAAACACTTGTTAAATAGTTTAGAGAGAATTGAAGAAAGTTCTGGAGAACAATTCTGCAAGACTGTGACAGAAATGTTGTCTGGACCACAAGCTGTAGACAAGTTTAATTGAGATATGACTTTAGCAACAGAAGCCGGAGTGATTTGAATGTCTAACAATGGGTCAACCTGTTTGACTAGAATGGAAGGAAGAGAATGTCCATAAGATTCAAGAGTGGAATTAGAAGAAAAGTTCTTTGCAAATAATTCTGCCTTATCCTTGGGAGAGGTAATAAGATCAGTCCCATGAATGAGAGATGGAATGTTAGATCTACCCTTGTTAATAATGCTGTTGAAGATTTTCCAAAAGTCTTTAGAGCCTAACTTCTGTGATAAGATGCAAGATTTAGTGAACTGAGAGATTTAGTAAATGGAGTTTAGCATCAAAAAGCACCTTTTAACATCAATTTCTTGCAATAATAAATAGCCGTTTGTTCTCAAGAGAGTTGTTCTTTTAAAAAAGATGAAAAAAATGATTACGATTGGATATAGCAGCCGCGCAAGAAGGAGAAAGCCATGGAGTAGAATGAGGCTTGACTTGAAACCGACGAGAAGGAATAAAAGCTTCCATTCCAGTCCGAATCCAGGAGGTTACATAGGAGGCGCATTTATCAGCTGAGAGAGAAAAAACATCAGCCCAAGGACCATCACGAAGAAAATCACGAAAAGAATCCCAGTCAGCTTTAGGGTAGTAGTAGGTGGTATGATGATAAGGTGAGCCCAAAAAAGAAGTACGAGAAGAAAGATTTATAGAGATCACTGCATGGTCAGAACCACCTAAGAGAGAAAAGGGAGAAACTGAACATAAGCTAGGGTCAGAGACAAGACATAAGTCAAGGAGTGAAGGTAAATGATTAGGGTTGTCAGGAAAACGAGTCACAAAGTTAACTATCTGAGTAAGAGATTGAGAAACACAGAAGTTAAAGGCTTTAGTGCCAGCAGGATCAGTGGTGTTAGAACCAAGCCATTCAGTGTAATGGGCATTAAAATCACCAACAACAACAATATTGGCAGAGGGGTAAAGAGAAAGGGCATGGTCAATTTGATCAGAGATAACATCTAAAAAGAACAAAGAGAAAGGTGATAGAGTGTAGAGGTGCAAGGCGAAAGCACATAAAAGAATGGTCAAAGGATTTGAACCTGATTTCACGACAAATAGGGGAATTAATGCGTATGTATAACCCTAAACCTAGCATGTGACTATTGGAGTCTTTACGAATCAAAGGATAGTACCCATCAACACTGACATCTGAAGAAGGAATTGCAGAATTTAAATTTGTTTCACTGAGTGCAAGCAAGTCTGGTGAATTTTGCAGGAGGTAAGACTCAACTGACGGAAAGTTGCTTTGCAGAACGCAAATATTTGTAAAAGATATATTAAAACATTTAGGTGGTGGGGATGGTTTTTAAGGTTTTAAATTTTTGGTTACTTTGGTCATGATTTGGGTTTAATGAGAACTTGACTCATTCATAGATAGAGCACAGCCTCCTAATCAATGAGCTATGCAGTTGTCTCAGTCCTGTTAATTAACTCTAAGTCGTGACATAGGGCTCCTTATGTGGCCTTGACAATGCACACCAAAAGCATTAACAGGGACACCATCCATGCGCAACATAACACTGTTAATACTCTGATATTTTGCAGCTGTTGATGGAATCAGCCTCTCTGAGAGCTACCACAGAGTTCAGGAAACCTTACTACCAGCCGGCCTCAGAACCATTAAACTGAGTTTTAGAGCTGTACCCTCATATGGAGATAACAGGAAGACTTGCATAGCCATTATCAACGAGGCATAGGCAAAATTCTATGAGTAGAGTCAAGGAGATCCAGCATTCATCATCCTAGGCAGGAAACAATGTAACACAGGTTACATCTACGCCAGCCTAATAGATGAAGAAGGGGTTTGAGGCTGGTTAGCAGAATTTTTCTGCTTACCCCTAAAGTCTTTGCCTAGGAGGCCTTCTACAAGACAGTAGCTGGATGCAATTAACATCTGCTCAAGATGAGTATTTTTATCGAGACACCATCTCTAGCCTTTACTCAACCAAGAGCCCCAAGGCAGGGGATGTTTAGCTAAATGCAGTTAACATCTGCCCAAGATGAGTGTTTTTATCGAGACACCATCTCTAGCCTTTACTTAACCAAGAGCCTTAAGGCAGGGGATGTTTAGCTGGATGCAGTTAACATCTGCCCAAGATGAGTGTTTTTATCGAGACACCATCTCTAGCCTTTACTCAACCAATATGCCCCAAGGCAGGGGAATTTTTAGTCGGAGTTTATTTCTCCTAGCCTTTGCCTAAGAAGAGCACACTCTGCAAGGCAGCAGGGCTTGTGGCAGGTGGTACTGGGTTACGTGATACCAGTAGCAAGATTGAACTTGATTATCCTGACCTGACCTGGAGTAGTTAAAAGGAGTTACTTCCCGCAACAGTACTTTGAGAAAACCAGGCATGACATTTTGGAAGTGCATTAGGAAAAACACTGCATCTAACAAAATACAGGAGTCTAAGGTGAGTGTAGGTTTTGTAGTTGGAGTAAGTAGCTAGTTACTGAGCTCATGCTGCATCAGAGAATAAACAAAACACAAACAAACATAAATCAACTTACGGGTGAGTCAACACCGCGCCAGAGGTTCAGACAGAACACAAACATACATAAAAAACTTACATAACTTAAAAAACTTACATAAGTAACTTATGGGTGAGCGAACACTGCACCAGAGGTTCAGACAGAACAAAAACATACACAAAAAAACATTAAAAAAATAAACATAAAGTAACTTACGGGTGAGCGAACATCGCGCTAGAGGTTCAGACAGAACACAGACATACAGAAAAATATAAAGTAACTTATGGGTGAGTAAACACCGCGCCAGAGGTTCAGACAGAACACAAACATACATAAAAAACATTAAGTAACTTACGGGTGAGCGAACACTGCGCCAGAGGTTCAGACAGAACACTAACATACATATAAAGTAGATTACAGGTGAGCTAATACAGTAACTAAGACACCTCTAACTATATCAAAAAAATCTCAGATGTTGAAAACTGAGCATGTTTATTACATTAGTACAATGAAACCAAACTGCTGTCATGGAAACAATTTTGTGTATAGAAATAATAAAAAACTTCACTAAATTTAAAAAAATCAGTCTTTAGTCTTTTTTAATAACCTTTTTATTAAGTTTAAACAAAAAAATATAGGAAGAGTGCCTATTTTTTTTTTTATATTATTCATTGTGAGAACAGATATAGAATGATTTATTACTTATTACTTAATAGAAACTCTTTCTTTAAAATTAAAGCTCAGGTTATGCAATAAAACTAGAGAAAAATTCAAATAAATTTATAAGATGAAAAAGAGTGTAGAAGACTACATATTAATAACAAATGTATAAAATGTCAAATATAAAACAAACTTTTATTGTCATAAAAACATAAATATTTTGTTAATTTTTATTATAACATATAATATATTTGAATTATCACTATAGAAATGTAATAAGATAAATAAATAAAATAAACAGTTGGAGTCTGTTTATAAATAAATCAGGTAATGCTAAACAGGGATTAGTCACAAATTTGACAAGTTAAGTAATAATAGTTGCTTTGATATTTCAACAATAGGTTTTAACTGATTATGATAAAATGAGATAAACGCTTGGTTACCAAAGTAACTGCAATCGATTGTAGAGCTGTTTGTGCTAGAAGGAAATGACTGATCTCTTTTAGCATAAAAATTCCTCGTACCCCAACTGCAGACAACAACCATCTCATATCATCTGACTGCAACAGATGATATGAGATGGTTGTTGTTTTGTCTATTGTACTGTACTGTATAGCTTAATCTAAATAGGAATAAACTTTAGACAGTTAATTCATACTTTATCATAAATAAGAATGCAATATGGAAATAAATTCAGATGAAGTGAAGAGTTTCTTGAGAAAAAATCTGTAAAGAAAAGGAAAGCAGATTCAAGTATTTGGAAGAGAAACATAAAAATTGTTATGTAATGTACATAAATTAAAATCAATTAGTTTTATAGTTGAATCTGAAATTACATCAATGAAAAAGATAATAGTCAAAATTGACTTTAAGCAGAATCCAAAAACAGATACCAAAAATACCAGCGCAAGAAACCATCTATCTATCTTAAGCAACTTTCAGTAAATGTTTTTTGTGTTCATAACAATAAAAGTAACATAACACACATTTTTGTTTACCACCAAGACAGAGCAAGCAAGGTTCTAGACGTAGTGTTTTCCCTTATATTTAATTATTTAATATAGGTAGAGCAGCAGTTTACCAAACTACTGTGTAATAGGGATTTTAGCATAATAAAGTGAGAAATAACCTGACACAATAGGCTGTATGTGACCAAGTTTGTGACTTTATTAAGAATTCAAAAATCTAAAAATAAATTTGTGGTACAAAAAGTTCAGCGTGTAAAAAAACTTCTGGAAAAAGCTGCAGGAAAAAGCTGCAGGAAAAGTTCTACAACCAGTACAATTTCAGCGGAGTTTAAAGAGTTTTATGCTGAAATTTATGTGGCCAACAAACAAAGTTGTTGAAGTTGAAAAGACAAAAACTTATTAAATAAGTTCTTTATTTATAGAAGTGTAATTTACTCGCCTTTAAGCATGAAATTACTCCCCTTTAAGCACGACCTAATTTAAATCTATTAAAAATATAAAATATAAAAATATTATAAAAATTTTATAAAAATATAAAAATCTATTGAAAATCTGTAAGAACCAAAAAAACAGACCTATTAAGACATTACATACCTATTAATAGCAGCTTTATGTTCATGTAAATGAGCAACCAGCTGACCTTTAGGCTTCCATCTATTTAAAAGATTTTTAATTGACTGAATGTGTAAAAAAACATAAAAACATATGTCTAAGGTTAAATGTACATATCTATTTCTATATACATACATACATACATACATACATACATACATACATACATACATACATACATACATACATACATACATACATACATACATATATATATATATATATATATACATATATATATATATATATATATATATATATATATTAATACACATACATGCACAAATATATATACAGATATGTTTATATAGCAAATGATACCCAGTTTGTTTTCCTCTATTTTCTGTCAAAGAGTTGAGCAAGTTTTTACGCTTAAGGTCTAAATAAATTATGAAATAAATAAAATACCATTTCAAAATTTAAAAAAATAATAAAAACTTTATGTTTATTATTTATAAATTTGTTGATTAAAAAAATTCATTATGTCACTATTTGGATTAAAAATTATCAATTAAAATTATTAAAAAAAATGTTAACCCTAACTTTATAAATTTACCTGATACGTATTGTTCGCATTTAAAAATTGAAAGTGTTCGCACATCTTGTTTACATTGTGCAAACTTGGCTTGATCAGTTAAAGTTGACAAACGAGAAGATTGATCTTCAACCTTAATAATTACATTAAATAATTACATGTCTTTAGTGAATGTCTTTAGTGAATGTACAGTTGACAAAATAATTACATGTCTTTAGTGAATGTACAGTTACAATTGCAGTTACATAGTAGTTTATATGCCAAAGTTTTTAAATAATTACATGTCTTTAGTGAATGTACAGTTGACAAAATAATTACATGTCTTTAGTGAATGTACAGTTGACAAAATAATTACATGTCTTTAGTGAATGTACAGTTACAATTGCAGTTACATAGTAGTTTATATGCCAAAGTTTTTAAATAATTACATGTCTTTAGTGAATGTACAGTTGACAAAATAATTACATGTCTTTAGTGAATGTACAGTTGACAAAATAATTACATGTCTTTAGTGAATGTACAGTTGACAAAATAATTACATGTCTTTAGTGAATGTACAGTAAACAAAATAATTACATGTCTTTAGTGAATGTACAGTTGACAAACAAAAAGATCATCAAACTTAACAATTAAATGTCTATTAAATCATAGTGATATAATATGATAATTTATTCAGGATTATAATTTATACATATAATTATACTCTTTTTCATGTTTCTCTTTTTTTTTTAATTCAATCATCTTAACCATCAGTTATAACAATTGTAAAAAATTTAAATTGATTAATTTTGAGAAAAAAAACAATTAAAAAAAAAAGTTTGTAAGATAAAAGCAATGTTTTGAAAATAAAATACCCTCCTAATCACTTAATCTCCAAATAGTTACCTTTTTAAACTATACCTTACCCCATCCACCCTTCACTTACACTGCTACATGTGTGTGTATTTGTGCATACAAGCACACAATAAAATCATTTTATAGTAAAAAACATTTTCAAAAAAAGAAGATTATGTGGTGCATTAAACACAAATATTGAGCATTTTTAATTGAATGATTCAGTCAAACTTGATTCAATCAGTTGTATATATGATATCCATGAAAGGTCAGTGGTCGATGATAATCAAGTCAGTAGTGGATGATAATCACAATTTGTGTTTGAACAGTAAAAATTAGAAATATAGCTACCTTGGAAATAAAGTTATCTAAAGCAATGATTATATCTTATAAATGGTTGTTCAAATGTTCTTATAAATGGTTGTTAGAAAAAAACTGCATAAAACAAAATTGCATAAAACACTTTCACTTAGACCATTGGACATCAGAATCAACTTACGAGTTAACTTTAAAACACACAACATAAGAAAAATGTTATGGGAAAACGGAACAATGGACATGCATATGTATCATAATATCATTGTTATTCAACTTAGGTCAAGTATAAAATATTTTCTAAGCAGTGAATGCATGTTTGAAAAGAATAATGATTTCAAACATAATTCACAATAGAATAAAAAATTTCTAGAATTAAAAATAATAACAATTATTAGACCTTGTTTTTAAGTGTTAGGCTACCGGCAATTTACATATGCACTACGTATCCCTAGAGCAATTTCTATAAAGCAACTTTTCATTATTTTTTAACTTTTAAATTATTCTATAAGCGGTAAGATAAAAGAAGTAATTAACTTTAAAAAACTACATTAACTTTTAAATGACTATTATGAAAAAAAAGTTTGAATGACAATTATGTTAGATGTAAGCGCTATTTACTAATGAAAAAAACTCAAATAAAATTAAAAGCTGCAAAAAATCTCTATTAACCTAATTGCAGAAAGAAAAAAAAACAGAAAACAAAATTAACAACATTTTTTTTTTTTTTTATGCGAAGTTATTAATCGTAACATTAAAAAAAACCATAAAAGAAATATATAAAATAAAAACTTTTATTTATAATCATTAGAGCAAAAGAATATTTATGTAACTTTTGATGGCATCAAAAAAATTCACTTAATATTCTATATCGTAATAAATAATTTATAATTAATTAATTTTTTTTTATGCTAATGATCAATTATTTTGCTTGAAAACGCTAATACTTTTTTTGAAAACGCTAATACTTCAAGCAAAGATCATTATAATGTAATTTAATTCTATTAAAAAAATATATAATTTAATTCAAAACTAATTTAATAAAAATATATAATTTTATTCTGATAAAAAAGTATATAATTTAATTTTAATTTAAAAATATATATATATTAATTCTGATAAAAAAAAATAAAGTTTTTGATTTTAATAAACTTAAACTTTTTTTTTTAAAAAAAAAGTTTAAGTTAATTTTGTTTTTATTGTTTATTAAATTTAATTTTGATTTAAAAAAATATATATATTAATTCTGATTTAAGAAAAAAAATTTAAGTTTATTTAAAATTAAAGGTAATGCTTGGGTTTAACTTTACTGCCAAACTTATTAAAAAATGTTACTAAATATAGTCAATATTTAAACTTTATTTATTCTTAAAAAAAAATTAGCTTGTTTTTATCGCAATTGTTTTATCGGTTTTCTTTCCTAAACATTTTTTTACTCAAAATTAAATATTAAATAAATGTGTTCTGAGGCTGTATCAAGAATTTGCACAAGGCATAAGTTAAACTTATTTTTATAACGCAAGTAGAGCGCAGCAATTTTTTTTAATAAATGATATATACAACAATATAAATTTGCTTTCAAAACAAAATAATAAAGTTTTAATAAATAAAGTAGATAAATTAACGTAATTTTTTTATTTGTTACTTACTAATTTTTTAAAAATAAAAAATCTTTTTTAGTTGCAAATTTTTAAAAATGATTATTTAAGAAATATTTATTTTTAAAAATTTAACATATTTTAATTCATTTATACAAATGTGGAGAAAAACAATTTATTTATATGAAAAAAATTTTTAAATGTAATACTAAATTTATTTATTTAATATAAAAAAAAGAAAGAAAATAAATATTTCCTAATAGTAATGATAAAAAACGAGTGAAACAATATTTAACTCATTTTGCAGTAATTAATATTATTGCAGTAATTTAAAAAAGTATTTCAAAAATAAAAAGATAAAGAAAACTTTATGACGTAAAATTCACATCAGGCTAATTAGTTAAGCATTTTTTATTTAAAACAAGGCCTGACAACAGTTATGTCATGGTCAGTAGAAAATTTTTGTTATAATTCTAATAGAAAATATTAGGTCTATATTGGACATAAAACTTTAAGATTGTTTAAGTATGTAAAAGATGTTTTACATACATAGTGTGACTATAAAAAGTCAAACCTTTTGAACACCTTTGTCTTCACAGTCATTATTAAGATAATCTACTTCTAAATTAGTCATAATCTGTAGAGGCCCCTAAAAAGAAGTTTTAAAATTAAATATGCTTTATACAAACATTATATAAAATTTTAAGGAGAAAAATAAATAAAAAAAATATATAGTAAATATTGTCAATCACATAAAAAACAACAAAGAGCATGAAATTAAAGAAATCTAAAAGTTTAATTGCAAACAATTCTATACAAATTTCGCTACTTTCAAATTACTATTGGTCCTTTAAAAAATGGAAAAAATAAATCTAATTTTGACAATTCCATTGCTCTATTCTAATCAACCAGAAAAATATGCTTTTATAAAAAAGCTTTTGTATGTATGAAAACCAAAGCTCCTAAAGACAAGCCAGAGTTTCCTATTCAAAAAAAAAATTGTAGTTTATTTCAAACACACAGAAATAGTTAAACTAAGAAATGTCCCAGTATTTTTAAATTGAACTGGACTGAGTCTTTCCATTTGAATAAGAAAGAGCAACAATTTTCTCTTACTGTATTGTGGACCTCCAGACATACAGCTAACTGTTTTTTGTATGTCTACTAAGTCTTCCAAAGGTTTTCTGTCTTGATGAAGGAACAAAATGGGGGAGGATTAAGCCTAACAATATCTATACATTCTCAAGAATCTTCTTTGATTTTAGATTCTAGTTTGACGAAGTGTCGATCTGAAGATATCAAAGTCATTTTACATTCCACCTTCAGCTTTAATTTTAGCAGACAATCACCTGCCACCTGATTATTGGGATTAAACCTGTTTTTAATATGAAAAGTGCTAGTACTGCATTTTTTTTTTAAGGAAATGAAGAAGTTTAGGTCAGGATTATGTTCTCATTATTCTGCCTACTTTTGTTTTTTACTCTGTTTTCTTTTTATTTATTTAACTTTACAGCTTTTTGTAAACAATTTCATATTTAAAAAAAAAACAAAAAAAACACTTAAAAATATCGTTGAGCATTAATAATAATTATAACAACTATTTCATATGAAAATGTGTAATATTTGGTTGTTCATGAAATTATTATTATATATATATATATATATATATATATATATATATATATATATATATATATATATATATATATATATATATATATATATATATATATATATATATATATAACATTATATATATATATAACATTATATATATATATATATATATATATATATATATATATATATATATATATATATATATATATATATATATATATATATATATATAATTACAAAAAATATTAACAATTTTTAAATTTTAGGAAGCAACATTAAAAATGATTTTTTTAAATAACTATCATACCTGTAGGGTTTGCTGGCTAATTTTTACAGGACGTTTTGCAGATTGAATGATTGGATCAGCTTTTGTTTCTACCATACGACTTAAATCTATTTCTTTACTTTTTGGAATGATATTTAAAGAAGACAAGTCCAGAAGTCCTGGAAAAACCAGATCTTGGGTCTGATGCATTTCAGGACTAATAGAAAAAAATTAATAATTACAACTTTGATTTTGAGTCAGAACTCCACATGAGCATACAATAGCTCAGCTTATTGTTTTGTTAAATTTATCTTTAAGTATTTTTTGGCCATTATGGGTATTAAAAAAAAAAAAAAAACCTTGTTGCTAGCTACATCATAGGTATTAAAGCCGCCTAGTATTTAGATTGGTACTAGACCTAGTACCAGTCAGCTGGTAATAGGTACCAGCTGACTTAGCTGGTACTAGAGCCAAGTCAATTAGTAATGGTTATACTAATTGACTTGGCTCTAGTACCAGCTAAGTCACTGGTACTAGAGCCAAGTCAATTAGTATAACAAGCATTAAAGTCTAAAACAACATTATTGACAGATAGATTAAAAAATTATTATTTGAAAAAAGACTCAAAATATCAAAAAAATCTGCAATCTTAGGAAAAAGGATTTAGGATAGAGAAAAAGATGATAAAGATATAAAGTAATGCTAAATGAAAGTACATAATAAATAGCCTAAAATTCAACATGTAAATATATGCTTAAGGGCATAAATAAGTACATGCATAAGTTAGGGCATAAATAATTAGATAAACTGATATGTAAGCAATATGTTTAATGTAAGCAACTTAAAAGCATACATAAACCTTGTCGAACAAGGCAGTTGTGCAGAGAAAGTTGAGCATATTACCAGGGGCACGGTAATATGCTAAACTAACTAAAAACCTCTTGCTTTAACCTCTAGCCAGTTCTCTACCACAACACCACTAACGCAACTGATGTCTTGTTCTTAAGTTAATTATAAACCTTATTAGGTCCTTGAATAAATCTTTATATACCCAAAACAAAAAAAAAAGGTTATATTAGATTTAAAGCAAGAGGTTAAGCTAGTCATAAAATAAAATCTACTTTTTTTTACTTTTGTTGTATGAACATTGTCAGAGAAAAATTATATTAAAAATTAATAAAAAAATAAAACAAAATTAAAATAAATTAAACAAAAATTAAAAAAACAAAACAAAATTTAAAAAAATAAAACAAAATTTAAAAAAACAAAACAAAATTTAAAAAAATAAAACAAAATTTAAAAAAACAAAACAAAATTTAAAAAAATAAAACAAAATTTAAAAAAACAAAACAAAATTTAAAAAAATAAAACAAAATTTAAAAAAACAAAACAAAATTTAAAAACAATTTACTTAATTTTATTAACATTAAGTTTGAGAATAATTTCTTTAAGTCGAATAATCTTTTCCTCAATCTCAGCAGTCATTCCTTGTGACTTAAGTTTTCTTGTAATTTGAGACAAAGGATCTTCATTTGAGGGATTAAACATGGTTTTGTTGTCTTGGTGATGAAGCTCTAATCTGGGATGTAAGAAACAACTAATATTATGAAAATTCATCATGAAAAACACAAATAACAAGAGAAATGAGAAAAACGAATTAAAAAAAAATTAGAAATTTACCTTGCAAGAAGAGTTCGTGTTTGCGGTGATCTAACAATGTAATCATACACATTGCGTGGTATTGGATCAACAAGAACACTTAACAAAACAGTCTAAATTAAAAATAATATAAAACAAAACATTAATCAAAGTAAAAAAACTAATATATAAAGTATTATATATAATAAATAAAAATAAATAACTAGTATATAAAAGTATATATATATATAACTTGTATAATTAACTAGTATATAAAAGTAAAGGACTCAGATGTGTTGTCATTTATCAAGAACATCAACAACATTGTGTTAATTATGTAAAGTAAACTACTGAGCTTTGCATCAAATAAAAAAAAGCTTGTTAATAATAATAACATGGCTGATTGGAAAATAGTTAGAGAGATCAAAACCATTTTAAAATTATTTAAAAATTGGAATCATAGATGTCATTTTTCAACAAGTAGGAAAAAAAGACTCAGCACTAGTTAAATAGTTTAAAGAATATTATCAGTCATACAAAAGAGTTCTGAAAAACACTTTGGAAAGAATATTGTAAGGATATATGCTAAAGAAGAGTTTAAGTGTGAAACAAATTCAGCCACAAAAGCCAGAATGATTAGGAGATCTAACAATGGGATAACCTGATTCTATAGGATGTTAGAAAGAGTGTGGTCATTAGTTTCAAGAAATAAATAAAGCAGAGCTGTTTGCAAAGAATTAAACATTCTTTGCAAACAGCTCTGCTTAGCTTTAGAGAGAGATGGTAAGATTAAACCCATGCATGAAAGAATGTTAAAATTATTTTTTCCTTAAATATTAAAAGTTTTTTAAGTTTCTAAATCCTAACTACTGAAATAAAACACAAATTTTATTAGTAAGTGAATGTAAAATTTTGTATTTTATTTCAGACCATGTTAAGGTCATTATTCCTTAAGAGTTATTCTAGTGAGGATGAAAGAAATGATTACAATTAAAAACATATGCACAAGCGTGAAAATGCAACATTTAACAACAAGATCAGCACAATAGAGAAAAAACCAAATAGTATTGTGGGGTGTGACTTTAAACAGAAAGAACAAAAGCTTCCATGCTTGCCTGAATCTAAGAGTTTATGCAGGAGACAAATTTTAGCAGACACTAAATACACCATTCCGAGGAACATTATGAAAAAAATCAAAAAAAAGATTTATAGGTGGTTAGGTATCACCTACCTATATATAAAATAAAACATGTTCTACAATTCCTATTTTTTAAATTTAGTACCTTTAAAATAATCAAAAAAAAAAAAAAATTGAAGACCAATTATATATTTTTGCTGATTTTAATAATCTAAGTCCTAAGAAAAGATCATGATCTACTACAAAAGACCATGACATATTACAAAAGATCATCTATTACAAAAGATCACAATCTTCTTCTTAACATCTTCACTTCCAACAAGGCTGCAAGCAACCACTATAAGAGTTGGAAGTTACTGGAAGAGAAAAGACTAAATCTGTAGAGCAAGATAACGATTGACTGATGACTTAAAAGATTGCAAATTATATGAATCAGGAAAGCAAGATGAAGGAAGCGAATTCCAAAGAACTGATGTTCGAGGAAAAAAACTAGAAGAATAAGAGTTTTTGAAGCACTTAGGAACAGTCACAGAAAAAGGATGAGACTTAATTGAATGGCGAGTAACACGAGAATGAATTTTAGTAGATGGCACAAGGGACGCTAGCTCTTTAGAGCAGTGCCCATTATAGTATTTGTAGAAAAGAGAAAGAGAAGCAACATTACGACGATGTGACAAAGGTTGGAGATTGGCTGCCAGAGCAGGTCCAACTATGTTTACAATTCGTTTTTGCACCTTGTCTAAAAGAGAAAGAGCATCATTAGAAGATCCGCCCCAGATGTGGCAACAGTATTCCATACAGGGACGGATTTGAGATTTATAGAGATAGAGAATAGAATCTGGAGTAAGAAAGTGTCGAGCTCGATAAAGAGATGCAACCTTAGCAGATGCTAATTTTGCAATGGATTTGATATACGGTTTAAAAGAAAGATCAGAAGTAAGAGTTAATCCTAGAAGATGAATGGTAGATGACTCATCTAGTACATTACCATTCATAAATATAGGAAGATCTAAATTATTACGATAACGATTGGCCGAATAAAATTGAGTTTTATCTGAATTAAAGTTCACCAGCCACTGTGAGCCCCATGCTGTAGCAGAAGTGAGATCCTTTTCAAGCCCAGATACCCCCTCCAAGCAATCAGAGAGTGTAGGCTTCTTATCATGACAAGAGTAAATGGTAGTGTCGTCAGCGAATAATGCCACCTTAGATGTGAGAATATCTGGAAGATCGTTAATGTAAATTAAAAAGAGTATAGGGCCAAGGATTGAACCTTGAGGAACCCCTGAAGTTACAGGATGTGAAGAAGAGTGTTGTCCATCGAGGACAACTTTTATACTACGATTGGAAAGAAAGGACTCAATAATCTTAAAGACGTTACCAGCTACACCATAAGAATCTATATGGTTTTTTTTGTTTTATTAGCCATTTTTTTTAACTGTTGTTTTTTATTATTTTTTCATTAAAGGAAATAATAAAAAAACAAAAAAGAACTAATTATGATTGCAACTTTATTATTTTAATTCATTTAAATCATCAGATAAAACTAGAAAAATAAAACAATACAACCTAAAATCATAACAGCCTGAAGAAACTTTGTGGTGATTGAATACTTTATATAAAAGAAATTTCAACCAAATCTATATCTGATTTAAATATTATTTTGAATATTTTCTAATAAATCAATTATTTACTTAATTAATATCATTTTAATAACATTTGAAACTTAAAGGTTAAATTTCTAAAATTATAACAGCTTTCAAAAACATTTATTTTTTAAAACTAAATCATTTTGAGTGTATTAAATTAACTTAAATTTTTCTTATATAAAGTTTAGTAAGGGGTCATCCATAAATTATTTCACACATTTTTTTTTGTGGGGGGGGGGGGGGGAGAGAGAGATTAGTGGTATTGTGACAACTCATATGGAACTTGTTGTTAGAGTGATACAATATTGTGACGAGGGGCAGAGGGGTCTAAAATGGTGAAAAAAAATCAGAGAATACTGTTATTTAAAAAAGTTGTTTATAAAATTGAAATAGTTTTTTTTTAAATGTAATTAATAGTAAATTATATACAAATTTCATAGTTATCAATAGTTTGTTACTTTATTTAAAAGTGTTTCAATATAAAAACATTAGTTAAAATGAAAGTTTTGATGTTATTTATTTCTAAAATTTTTTTGTATTCAGCGTGTTTTTAAAATGTTCAAAGCTGTGGTCAAGTTGTCAAAATAAAATATTATTTTTGATGTCATATATCGCGTGAAATTGCAAACCTTCTAGAACAGGACTGTTTTTCTTGTCTTGTTAGAGTCACACATCCATCTGATCATCGTCTTCTTTCTCAGCAAATATATTAAATTGCCATACAAAAAGGGGAGAGTTGCCAAAATTGAAACAAGGCCTTAATTTGAACACTTGCAATTATTTTGGAAACAAAATGTCACTTTTGCATTTTTACTAGTAAAATGTCTTATTTTCTACATTGTGAGAGATTTTGAATATTATTGCTCAAAAAATGCATGTGCACCATTAATTAAAACTTTTATCCATTTTTTCAGATGATTTGGTGTTCACACTGCATTGATTTGGTGTTTACACTGTATTCATTGCACTGGGTAAAATTTCATTAGGTTATCAGTTTTTTGGGTTTAATGTGATGGGATTTAACATGAAAGTAATAACATAAACTTTTCTTATAACTGCAAGCATGGTATAGCAGTGATATAACTAAATGGTCCAAAGTTTCCATGATCTGAACTATAAAGTTTTCCTTACTTAATTAGTGATAAAGGTTTGATTAAATAGTTCAGGTGTAATTTTCAAATAAATAGTTACATATATAAACTACAAAAATAATAAGAGAACATCATAATAGTTAAACCAATTTTTACAATTTATTTTTTTAAATAGTTACATATACTTATATATAAACCACGAAACTAATACTTTATCTTGTGACTTTTAATAAAATAAGAGAACATCATAATAGTTGAACCCATTTTCACAATTTATTTTTTTAAATAAATAGTTACATATACTTATATATAAACCACAAAACTAATTCTTTATCTTGTCATTTTTAATTAACAAATTGAGAGAACTTCATAATAGTTAAACCTTTTTGGAAAGAAAAGACAAAAAGAAGTTATTAAACTTTCTTTGCCTTTACTTCCCTTCAAACTTATTTTTACAAGTGAGAGAAAAACAGTTCAAGATAATTTAATATAAAAAAAAAAAAACACCATCTTTAAATAACTTTTAAAATTATACCTGATTTACTAACTGAATAATTGGTTGTTTTAAATATGGCAGCACTAAAGGCATCAGACGACAATGTACATCAACAAGTGGCATCTTTTTAGCGCACGCAACAATGTATCCAACTGATGCGTATCGTATCCATTGATTCTATAAAATGAAATAAAAAATTAGATTTCACAATTTTTTTTTTTCAAAGCCTATTAATTATTTAAAAAAATTTTATTGTCACAGGTATAACTATACCGGATGTGAAACAAATGGGACAACATCAATAAGCATTTCAGTTATGATAGGCTTTTGCAATAGACCGAGGTCAACTAATGATGTTAGTGCTTGAAGAGCTCTGACTACAACAAACTCTTCTGTATCTTTTAAACCCTAAAAAATGTAAAAAAGTAAAATATAACGAGATAATGATAATGGTTATATTAACACAACTTTGATTGGTGCATTTAATCATATGGTTGAATAAGTATTAACTTTAGCTAATTTTAGGTATTAGTTATTAACTTTTGAAGTGTGAAGCATGTTGGTTTGATTAAGGTCTTTATAAGTTTTACTATTATTTTAGTTATCAATCAATTAATTAATTTTCATTAAATAAAATAAAAAAAATTTTCTTTAATTAAAAGTTTTAAAAATTTAACATTTTCAAATTTTAAAATTTTGTTTTGTTTTGTTGACAATGAAATAATTGTTATCTTATTGAATAATGTATATACTTTTTGTTTAAAATAAAAATCTTTGTTAAAAATTTTTGAAGAAAAATTAAAAACTTTTGGTTGTAATCATAAAACAATAAATCTCTTATTTTAAGAAATAGATTTCTTAAATTTGTTTTAAGAAATTTATTTTTTAAATTTGTTTTATAAAAATTATTTCTTAAACTTATTTTAAGAAATAAATTACTTAAACTTTGGACAATTTATGATTTTGGCGTATATATTTTTAGGACAGTTTAATACCTTTATTTGTCACACACACACACACACACATATATATATATATATATATATATATATATATATATATATATATATATATATATATATACATATATATATATATATATATATATATATATATATATATATATATATATATATATATATATATATATATATATATATATATATATATATATACACATATATATATATATATATATATATATATATATACACATATATATATATATATATATATATATATATAATATATATATATATATATATATATATATATATATATATATATATATATATATATATATATATATATATATATATATATTTACATCAGTTTGTAAAAGGAAAGAACTATATCTTAATAAACCTTTATAAATTTAAAAAATAAATTTATGCAGTTTGTTTTAGAAAGTAAAATGTGACAATTTTTTTTTTAATAAGTTAAGTTTTGTATACTAATTATTATAATTTTGCACAAATAGAATGATGAATTTAAGAAGCAATAATTGTCTATTTAAATTTACTTTTTTTATCTTATAATTTTTTAATATAGATCAGTGAAATTTAGTTTTACCTTAAAATATAAAAAGCAAAACTTATAACTATATTAAAAAACAAATAAATAATTTTAATGCTATGCATTAAAAATTTATTAATTTGTTAATTTGACTATTTATTTAACTTATATCATAACCAGATGCTTTTTAAATATCAAAAGATATAATTATTACTATTTCTGAGTTGAATCAAGGGGGAAATAAAATAAATGTAAACTATGGAGTGAATGAGCATTATTCAACTTTGTGTGAACATTCATACTGAATCTTTTATGAGAATATTTAAACAGAAACCTTTGTGAGAATATTCAAACAGAAACCTTTCTGAGAATATTCAAACAGAAATCTTTTGTGAGAATATTCAAACTGAAATCTTTGTGAGAATATTCGAACATTAAATATATTTGATATAATTTTTCAAATACTATTGCTTTTTTATACCTACATTTTATTACTTAGTAATTTATTTTTTGAAGGAAATTACATTTAAAAAATGTCCAAAAATATTTTAATTGTACAAATGTACATGTACAAATTAAAACTAGGTAATGACAAGCAATTTTTTTTGTCTTTCTTAAATTTGACATATAAGGTAGATTGTGTGTGTGAGTGTGTGTGCAGGAGATGCGCACTCACTTGTGATTGTTAAAAAAAAATTCTGTTTATTTATTGTTATTTTTTAATGATATTATTATAAGGAAATATTTAAAACATCTTTTTTTTTTTAAGTAGTTGTTTTTATTTTAAATGGAGGCTGTTAGGGTTTGTCAGTATATACTGTTTGTAACTTTCCTGTCTGTGCATAATATTTAAGTGTTGTTTTGAGAATAATATTGGTTTATTATTAAATAATTATTTTATTATTGTTATAATTCTTAACCTATCATCATTACTACCTTAATTACTATTTTAATAATGTGTATTTATTATCATTATTTCATGGTATTTACTTAAGATTAGTTTTTAACTATTTATTGTAAAATCTTTTATCAAAAACATTGATTGATTTTTGATAATTCAAATTAGGGTTTGGACAAAAACCAACTTTTTGAAAAACTGGTTTTTGAATTACAAATTCCCCAAAAAACGAGTTTTACCCGGTTTTTCGAATTTTTCTTTATTAAAATTGAATAACGAGAAATACTTTATTCATATATTATATTTATTTCACTTATCATAATTTTTCCTAGGAAATAGGATTTTAAAAAGGGTTTATAGTTTTGAGCGCATCAAATAACAAACTAAGTTTTTGGTTCATTTATGTGTTGACTCAAATAATAAAAACTAAGCTTTCATTGTCTTTGGGTTAATGGGAAACTCAATAACAAAGTCAAGAAACTTTGTCATTGAATTTTCCATGATTTTTTTAAAACTCTTTTTAAAACTCTTTTACTCTGATGAGCAAAGCTTCTTCGATTTCTTCTTGATCTTCGATTTCCTCTTGATCTTGTTGTTCACAATAGAATTTTATAACAGTTGACAATAAATTTTCAGAAAATTCAATAGTATCAATTTTTAAAGCTAAAAGAAACATACTAAATTTTTTTGCTGGGCTAGAAATGTTTTCAGGATTTTGCAAAATTTGGTAAGAGAGTTTGCATTTTATAAATACATATAAGTAAATATTAAATCCAAACTATTCGAGAAGATTTAGTTTGCCTATAACTTTATGTTTTACATTTTTAGACAAGCAACTGTTTCTATCGCGTAATTATCACAAAACATTTTGCAAAAAATCAAAATCTCTATCTACCACAAGAAAAAAGTTAGCTGCATGTTAAAAAAACAGCTTACTAAACTTACTTAACAAAATATCATTGCATAACAAAAATATACTAAAAAATGTTATAAAAATAGAAAACCAGTTTTTGTAATTTAAAAACCGGTTTTTAAATGCGTAAAATTTATTTGAAAAACCGTTTTTTTTTAACCGGTTTTAAAAAAACCGCCAAACCGTAATTTAAATCAAACTGTTTTGTGTTTACATTTAATTGCAAGTATTTTATTCAACTAGCAATTCTATTCAACTCATTCATTCATTCAACTTTTCTATTTGACTGAACTTTTTTTTAAATTAAGGTTTGTATAAATTTATTGTTATTACATATAACAATAAATTTATACAAACCTTATATATGTTTTGTATAAATTTAATAATATTATTATATAAATTTAACAAATCTATATCTTTAAAATATCGTTTTTTCAGAAAATTTACTCGATTTGCACATAAGGAATAGTTATCAGGTAATATAAATCATCACCCCTAAACGATAAATCACCATATAATGACCTAAAATTTTATCAAAATAAGTGGATTCATTAAAATTATCTAATACTGAATCATTTTCTATACAACTATTCTTATAACACCATATTTCTGTTAAAGAAGATTTCAAAACAACATCATCCTCAACAAGTTCAGATTGAACCTTATCTTTTCTTTTTACTTGAACAACCACTCGATATATAAAAACCCTCTATTGAGAAAGTAAGATAAAAATTGTAATAGTTTTCCTGCAGCCTAACTGTGGTAAGTTCTGAAAATGCCTCAAACAAAATTTTTGCCTACTTTCGAAATATAAATATGACCAAAAAGGATAAAAATTTGATATTTTATTAGTAAAATATATTATTATTGAAATAGAACATATAAAGTATTATTTTATCAACAAAATTATTAATAAAATAATGGTATGTTGTTTTGAATTAAGTGTAAATTAGTGAACATTTACTTTTCCTTTCCCAATAAAAAACTTCATCTAAAGGTTTTGGAATATTAGATATATAGATGGACAAATTATTGTTGATTGTCATTTCATCATAGTTATATCATAGTTTATGTAAATAATTAGCAAACCAAACACATCATTTATTATTTTGTTTATTTTAAGTACATTTCACAAATTTAATATTAAATAGATAATATTAAAAGATGAACCAGTAAATTATAATAAAATAACTTTAATATGTATAACAAAGCTAACCACTCTAAAGTAAGCCTGGGAGTCCTCACAGAACTCAGAGAACATAAGAGTGTTAGGGTCAGTCTAAGAAATCAGAGAACATAAGAGTTTTCGTGTCAGTCTATAAGGCTTCTGAAACTTTATTTTAATATTTCTAATGGTTTTTATATAGTTCCTAAAAAAATAATATAATTTTGATTAAGAATAACTGGCATCATTAAGCAGAGTGGTGGTGTGGTGGGGCGTACTGAAGTATGGTTGCATTTTTAGATCTGTTTTATATTCTTAAGATCAGTTTTATATTCTTATCTCACAAGAGTCAAGAATCTTCAAGAACCATTTAAAATTTTTAATTTAATAAACTTTTAAATATAATGGTGATGATAATCATTTTGAAGATATGGTTTAAAACTATAACTTTTTTTAAAAAAACTTTTACCTGTTGTAATAAAGGTTTTAAAATAGATAGACAATGCCAACCGATATAAACAGCTATCCCAACAATGCTATCAAAAAATGCAGCTCTTAACTGCCAGTCATGCTTGTCATTTAAAAATGTTATAATGTGAGACAATAACACATCATTAGCTTTTTGCCTTCCAAAAAATACGCAAAGTCGAGTGAGTCCATTTTCCATAAGAGTACGCTTGACAACACTGTCAGAATTAGTGAGCAAAGCAACAACTTTATTTTGTATGAGTTCATGCAATGCATGCAGCTCAACATCATAACTCACCTAAAAATAAATATATCTTTAAAATATTGATAGAAAAGAAAGATACACAAAAAAATAACTAAAAAAAAAAAAGAGTGACAAGAATAACACTATTCTGTAATTAATTAGCATCAGTGTTCACCTGATATTGAATTTGATCATCTCTGTCATTATTGTTTATGCTGCTTAGTTGGGCTAGCTCTAAAAATCGAAGAGCAGTTTCAGCCAGAGATGATATATTTTCTGCAAATGCACACTGCACTATAACTTCAGGATCATTAACAAGCTGACTCTTAAATATAGCATTTCATTAAGTAAAAAAGTAATTATTTGAAATATAAAACAAAAATGATCATGCATATTAGATGGATTTTTAAATACACCACAATAATAAAATTTATAAATTACTTTTTAAAAATATTTGAAAATACCACAAAACTATTTGAGTTAATAAAATTAGATGAGTCATTGTATTTCCATGATCATCATCTCATGATGATAATAACAAATGATTTCTATGATAATCATGATTTAAATTACTTTCAAGATTAGGTAGAATGTACTTACAAGATTAGGTAAAATGTACTTATAAGATTAAGTAGAATGTACTTACAAAATTAGGTAGAATGTACTTACAAGATTAGGTAGAACGCACTTACAAGATTAGTTAGAATGTACTTACAAAATTAGGTAGAATGTACTTACAAGATTAGGTAGAATGTACTCTGGAAATATATTAGCTTCATTTTTGGGTAAAATAGTAATGATTTGTAAACACTTAGTGATTGCAGTGATAGAATGTGCACGAACGCGAGGAATCGAATCTGTCACAAGAAAGAACATATATGGAAGAATCAGCTCTAAGATAATCTCATCTGTCACATAATAAGACAACTTCAAAAGCAGATCTAATGCATTTAACTTGGATATACAAAACTATAAATAAAAAATAACAACAATTTTTTTAAACATGTTTAAAAAAATATATGAATAAAAATAAAAAAGGAAGAAAACAATTTTTAACAAAAATAAAAATAAATAAAAATGGTAGACATGAGCAACTTTTAAAACAAGGTTTTTATGTTTAGTAAAAATTTTATTTCATTCAACAGAGTAAATAAAGTATATTTTATATATATAAAAAATAAACTTAAACAAAGCCAAAGTTTTTTGAATGAACTAGTCCGCCTATAATGAATAGCCTATGAATATTATTAATAGTGCGCATAGTTACGCGTATTGTTTTATAGTTACGGTACGGTTCTGTATCTGTAAAATACACTTTTTAAGTAGTTTCTAGACTTTTCTTTACGGCGTGCTTACTTACAGATTTCCCTTCAACCTTTCATGGTACGAGTTCAAAATGTCTAAGTTGACATTAAGTAGATAATGTTTAGTAGCTTAAAATTATAGGTAATCTAAATTTTTTTTTTAAATTTAAAAGTAATTAATTTATTGTAATCTTTTTTAAATTGTAATTTTAAATTTAAAGCTTCGTGTTATAGATTACTTTAATTCTTAAATTGTGTCTAGCGTTAAAATATATTTATGGGTAGTTTTATGCTTTCACTTAGTTTTGGTTATTGGGATAAAAGCCATGACAACATTTTGTTATAAATTTATCTTAATTTAATTTTTATTGAAAATTTTGTTATAAATAAAATTTGTCTTTAATATTGTTAATACTTCAGCTCTTTGAAAAAAAATATGTTTCTGGCTCTTCAATAAATATAAAATTATTTGTCTTGCATGAATGAATTTTGGTTTAGGATTTAATTGTGTTAGTTTATGTTTGTCTATCTGTAATTTATTTAGGTTATTAAAAAATTCATGTTTACAGAGTTGTTATAAATCATAATCGAGTTGTTAAACCAAGGAAATTGTGGAGGTTTATTTATCATATATACTATATATATTATATAATTATATTGGAGGGAGTAAGTTTAGAAGCCTTTTTAAATTTTTAAAAAGAAATAAAAATACTTTTCAATATATATCTGTTTTCTTTGAGGTAGATTTAAAGTTTCAGGTTTTTAAAATCATATATTTTAAAATCCTATATATAACTCATATATCTTTGTTTTTCTATTTAGACGTTGGTAATAATATGAAACAAGTAAGTTATAAAGCATTTTTAAATTTTTAAAAAGAAATAAAAATACTTTTTATTATATATCTGTTTTCTTCGAGGTAGATTTAAAATTTCAGGTTTTTTAAATCATATATATTATAAGGTTTAAGAATGAGTCGACTTGAATGTTTGTTTGTTTTTCTATTTAGACGTTGGTGATAATATCGAAACAAGTTAGTTATAAAGCATTTTTAAATTTTTAAAAAGAAATAAAAATACTTTTCAATATATATCTGTTTTCTTCGAGGTAGATTTAAAATTTCAGGTTTTTAAAATCATATATATTATAATATTAAATTCTTTTTTACTTTAAAAATATCAATATTATAGTTACACTGAGTCGTAGAAAAAAAATTAAAGTTTATTAATAAGGTAGTAGATTATTAGAGTAGATTAAATTGTTTGATCTATTAATCAACTTAATAACGTACTATTAATATGAAGATTTATTTTGGTTGTTTGTTTGTTAAAATTTAGTTAGAGTTTATTTAAAATTTAAATTCTTTAGTTAATCAAGAGAGATCTAATAAAGGTATTAATTACATTAGTTGAATGTGGTATTTAATATGTATTTTATCTATATAAGGAATAAAATAATAAGGAATAGAAAAATTTAAAAAATTTGCTCTGGAATTTGTCAAAAGAGTGTTGTGTTATGCTTCATTTTAAGGTATCTAAATATATATTCATTAAAAATTTTTAATTTTGTTTTTAAATGGTTTATTCTTTTTCACTACTTTAGATAAATATATACTGACTGACATAACTTCATTTTTATTAACAATGTCGTGCATTGTAGTCTGCATTCTTTGTTACATTGAAAATAATTGATGCTAATAAATGTTCTTTTATAGTTGTTAAAAGTTTGCATATATGTTTGCATTTATATTATGATCAAAGTTAAAATTTTTTTGATAAATACGTGTATGTGGTGATACTACTCAGGTATCACCGCAGCTTATCTCTATCAGGTACATTGATTTTTAATTCACATATGATGTTTTTCTTTGTATTTACTTATTCATTACATTTTTAACTTCAGATTTATGGTGTATTTATTTGCTATAGAAGAACAAATCATTTTGAATTTTTTTAAAAATATCTACACCAATCAACATTTAAAATTCAATGTAGCATATACCAGCTTCTAGGCTTTTTTGATGCTTTTCTTATTCAAGTGGTTTCATAAGCAAGGTCTACAAGCAAATTTGAGATAAAAAGTTTTTCAGCTTTCAAGGAGTATCAATGTTGTTCTCTGTATACTTTAATTTGTTTAAATAGAGTAGTTTTGTAAATAATATTTTTTACAAATATTATTTACAAATATTTGTAAAAAATATTATTACCTGTCAAAAATTATTATTTAATATGTAAATAATAATTTTTGACAGGTAAGTTTATATACTTAAATGTGCCTATATATCGGAATATTTTATATTTCTCTGAATCTATATGAATATTATCTCAAAGAAAAAATTTAGAATAGAAAAAATTTGAATATATATACATACATATATATTACTTTAGACTGACATTGCTTCATTTTTTATACAAGATTCTGCATTTATTATTTTTGTACATTAAGAATGTGCCTGAAGGCTTTCTTAATTAAGCAACGAATTTAGAACACAATGCAAATAACATTGCACTGTGTTCTAAATTCTTTGCTAAATTAAAATAATGTAAATAAATTTTGTTTTATATTTTTCAGTTGTAAAAATATAAAACGTTCATTTATTCAGTTGTAACAGTAGCATAACCACTGGTAATATATATTTAATGATAACAGATTTATAATATTAGGCTCGAAGAAGTTATTAGTGTAAATGGTTATAGGTGACTTGAAATTGTTGTCATATGAAAGAAATAGATCTAGGCATGATAAAATTAATTGTCGTTGAAATATAAGAAATTTTGCTTGATGAACCAAAAACTTACTTGGCAGAATTCAGTGTCAAGCGCTGTTGATGTCTATTATTTGACTTTACATTAGACACTTTAGAATAAAGCAAAGTATGAATTTTACTATTTATAGTAACAAATAATAAAAATTTTTAAATGATTTTTTTTTTTTTTTTTTTTTTTTTTTTTAGTTTTACTTTTGTAATCTTAATATAATTGTTCATTTTTTTTTTAGTTGTCTTTGTCATCACTTGAATATTTTGCTTACTGTTGAAACATGGTTTTAATTTTGTAAATTTAATATGATGTGAAATTTACAATATTAATCATTTGTCAACAGTTAGAGAGAAGCTGGAAATTAATTAAGAAATGCTGGAAATTAACTTTTAGGTAAGGTAAAAATAATTTTGTTTATTGGTAGCATAATAAAACCAGTTACTGTTATTTATTGCATGACTTTTTTACTTTTTCTAACATGGTGTTTTTAAAACACTTCCTCTCTCTCTTAGATGAGACTTAAATAAGAATTAGTATTGAGAATTGTAGAGAGAGAATTGATTGGGGGGTCGTATGGGTTGAATGGGCGGTCGTAACTAAAAACCTTTAAAAATATGGAGAATATTGTAGTTTTGCGCATTAATATCGAGTTACTTAAGTTTTATTTATGTGTTTAACTAATTAGTTAGCTTAGTCTGTATTAGCAACACTTGTGAGGAAAGAAAGAAAACATTTTTATATAAGTAGATCATTGTTTTACATTTTAATATTTTATTTTATTCACCAGGCCACCATTAAAGCAAAAAGAGGGAAGCAACCTCTTTATTAGAGCCAAAATATTTAGAAAAATTAAATTTCGAGTTACAAAAGGAATTTTTAGTAAATGGTGGCACATTACCGTTTACTAAAAATTTAATGAAATAAAGAGGCCAAATAAATAATATACAAATGGTCTGTGTTGAACAGACTTAACAAGACCCGGGTCGGGTCAGCTTGGTTTACAAATTTTTATGTCTACTTATCTCTTATAATTTTTATTTTAGTTTGTTCTATGATGCATTAATGTATTAAAAAATTTGTTATACCTATGTTTGATCGTAAATTAAATTTTTTTTTGTTTGAAAGGTATTTGTACTCAGTTGCGTAGTTATAATAAACTTTGTTATTTTTTATAAATTTATTTAAACGTGTGCATTTAACATTTTTGAGTTAACAATTTTCTTTTCTAAAGAACAATTAATCAAGGGGATAACAAAAAATTGATAACTCCTGTATAATATAAGTTAACTTCATTTTAATCTTAATGGTTATAAAAATTATTACAAGGATTTAGTTGACACTTTCGTCAATTTAAAGTATAACCAAGTGCTATTATTTTGCGTCAGTAACTAAAAACGTATTGTGTTAAACTTAGGAAGGTCGATGAAAATGGTTCTGCCTTACACTGTTATGACCTGTGCCATTTGTAAATTACTTAATAATGTTAAGTAGTAGTTGGTAAATTATTTTACCTCCTCATAATTTTTATGTTAATTTTACAGATGGATTAATTTTTTCAAGCTGAAGGCAATTTTCTAAAAGGGTATTAGTTAAGGTTTTGCAAGATTAAATTGTGGAAAACAGCTACTATAAATTAATTATGTAACAGACCGACCGAAACCCGTATTACGGGTTGCCTTTTGCTAGTATAATATTATTAGCCTGATTTTTTTGTTTTTTGCAAAAAAAATTGGTCTGTGAGCAAACCTTTAGTTACCAGCATTCTCTACAAGTTTAGTAACTAAACACAAAATCCTTTGAATTTAAAAATTTAAAACACTGCTGACCTCATACATAAGTCCCTAATAAACTACAAAATAAATGCACAGAAGACAAAATAATAAAACTCACTTTTAAACTTCTGACGCATGAAATCACCAATGAAACAATCATAACAAAGCAGTCTATATATTAAATATTTAAAAATTTTAAATATAATTAATAATAACCAAATTTATAACCAAAGAACTTGATTTTTGAGATTAAACAAAACTTTCTTTAAATTAAAATCTATTTTTAGCTGCAAAATTTTAAATAAAAAAAAAAATTATATTAATATATTTTAAATACTATCAGTTTCAGGAACTCTTCTTTCATCTTTTTCTATAGTAACAGTTTCAATAGCAACATTAGGAAATGCTTCTTTAGTATTTAGAGCATACTTATGGCACAAAGAACTGCAAATTAAATCCATATCTTTGACCAATCTAACAAATGATATCAAGTTAATATGTATTAGCTAAATGCTAATATTTATAATATTATTTACTACTCAGAGTTTCATGTGTTGCCACAATCTTCAGGCAAGTACTACTTGCCTGAAGATTGTGGTAACACATGAAACTCTGAGTAGCAAATAATATTATAAATATTAGCATTTAGCTAATTCCTGATACTGCGGGTAACAGTAATATATACTATATAGCTCTAGTTTATCTATTGAGCACTCTTCAAAATATACATTATTTAAAATATACATTATTAATTGTAGTTTAAACCATATTATAACTTATTATACATTATTATATTATAGTATTATACATTATTATACCATATTAAACCTTAAAAATATTTGTTAAAATTTTGAGTAGAAAATATTTGAACCGAGTAGATAAATTTGATGAATGTTAGCAGCTGTTATTTTTTTTTTATTAATCGAAAAAGTGAGTAAAATTTGAGGGCAAGTTATTGCAATATTTTAAACAAAGCATATCTATATTATTATTTAGAAAGAATCTTTGAGATTATATATATGTCTTGAGTAAAAAAAATTTTACTCTTTAAAAATAATTCAAGTGTTTTCTCGTAAAGATAATTTGGGTCTACCTCCAGCATGTTCAAAGCTGTATGTTCTTTCTGAAAGCGATGTTTAAGCAGTTATAAAAATTTATAATGAAGATGAAGTTTCCCAAATATCACCAAGCAAAAAAGATGGCAATTCAATTATCTGAGGGAAAAGCAAACAATGCATCATTTATACATCATTTATATTATACGCTAAAAGAAGATTTAGAATTATTCAAGGAAAAGCATCAGCACATAAAAATTAGACTTGTCCACGCAATGTGAAATCAGTGACAAAATTTCTGCATAGTGTTTGTGTTTGTAGTTTGCATGAAAATATACAATTTGCCTTAGATGCATTAACAAAATCAATTCAAGTGTCTTCAATCAAAGTTGGATCTGAAAAGATAAATAACTTTGTGAACAGTACACATACAATTGCGCCTATGACAAATGTGTTGCATGCAAAGGTATGAAACAGTTCAGTAAACACTTGCAAACCGTTAATACATTTGGTTTCGAAGTATCCTGGGACAAGTGGACAAAACTTGAAACTAAAACATATGCAAACATTGAAAAAATTTCAAAAAAGTCTACTGTAACAGAACTCATTTAACACATATCAGCGTAAATGCGTGATAAATTCATTAAACACGCATTTGTAAAGAAAAACCAATGAACAATTTTTAAGAAACTGAAGGAAGTATCAATGAGTATTAATTCTGAAATTGCATTAATCCAAATTGACTGGGCTTAAAAAGCTAGGTGCTTCTATCAAAATGAACCACAAGCGGCTCATTTTAGTCAAAATCAAGTTTCTATCATGACCCTAGTAAAGTACCAAAAAAAATCAAACAAAAAAAATTATCAGTCTGGAACATTGAGTAATAAACATTTGCCATAGTTTCTGATTTAACTGATCATACAAAGTCTTCCTTTATACCATACATTGGCAAAGTTCTTCACTTTGTTCCTGATCAAGTCAAAGAAATACACATGTTCAGCGATAGTGCCACTTATCAGTTCAAAAACAAAAGCATTATGGCTGCAATGGTTGTGTTTGAAAAACATTTTCATAAATAATTCTTTTGGCATTTCTTTGCAGCGATGCACGAAAAAGGAGTGGTTGACGGAATAGGAGCTACAGTTGAGTGAATCGCAGCCCTCTGAGTTAAATCTAGGGTAATTCCACATCAAATCACCCACTCCATTGAACCATGTGTCTTCTTTTTGTTTTAAATTTTGACACATGATTCCTATTTATAAAAAAATATTGCATGCAAAATTTCAGCTAAAAATGTCAAGCGGTTGACAAGATACAGCAAATTTAATTTGGACCTGGTTTCTCAAAATGACCCGGTTTTCATAACATTCTGAAAAGTTGTTTTCCTCAATAAAATAAGAAATAAAAATGGCAAAAATATAAAAATATACATTTATAATGGTTTTTTAATGCTGAATTCAATAAATGTACTTAAAATGCTGAAATGTTAGAGGAACATCCTTAAAAATTAATAAATCAACTAGTTTATATAATCTAACTTTAGGGCCCAATATCTCAAAACACCCCCGTCAAATTTTTTTTTTTTTTGCTTTCAATATTTTAAGCTAGTTATAATCTTACTAGGCACAAAAAATCTAACTGGAAAAAAAACTGAAACATATAGAACTTTAATTTTAAAGATGTATAACTTTTTTAAGAAATTCCTAAAAAATATTTATAAATTCAATTAAAATAAATTATTCCTAATTTACAAAGTTACTTAAATATACAAGATTTTTAAAGGTATCGAATGTGCAAGTTATTTTGACTGTATTTGTAATAGTTCACAATATTGTTGCCATTTTACTTGCACTTCTTCTATTTCAACATTTTCAAACACATAGTTTCTACCAGAACTAGAGCAAGCTTGTGGAACAGATAGTTTTTTCAATATATTGATGTTAGGAATAAAACAGTGGTCGTCTCTTTCAGGCCAGTTAAAATAGATTGATGGACCTCTTGGGTGGAGAAACTTAACTTCAGCATCAACTTCTTCTAGGTTGATTTCAGTTACAATGCCGATCCACCACTTATCATCATAAACTACCGCAACATAACCTCCTAAAGTGACAGTATCAGGTTCAAATATATGTTTCTTTTTAAGATTGTGAATTATTGTATATTTAGTGTCTGTACTACACCTCTTCGCCCCAACCCTATTATCTCCAAGATGTATAAATTGATGAAAGCTACGAGTACCTGGTAGAGTTGTTACATCAGTGTACCTTTCTTTTTGCTTTTCACGTTGCAATTGTAAGTCCAATCCCTTTATGTAAATGAAGTTAACAGCCTTAATTTTCTCAACACAAAATTCATACATAGCCTCTGATGTGAGAATTTGGTTTCTGTATGGTCGTTTTAAACTTTCTTGTGCTGTTAACCTTTTTACAGTACCACCAATTCCATCGCATGGTGACTTTCCGTGGGACGTGGCAAAAAAGTTCCATTCAATTTTGAGGGAAAATTCTGTCTCTAGTTGGCATAGATTGTAAAAGCTTTTACAATTTTTGTACTGTCCTGCACAACCATCAGTGAATAAATGCAATTTGGATAAATCAAGAAATTTTGTTTTTAATATTGGTATAATTAGTTGAAATATCTTGTATACATAAGTTACATCGTGTATAATGTCGTCTGATATAAAACAGTAAGAAATATGTTTCACTACACCATTTTCTTCTTTATAGTATATCACTAATGGATGTAAAGAACATTGTTGGGTGTTCCAGTGATAGCTCTGTATTTCATCTTGGACTACAAAAGCATAATTTTCAGCAAAGTCGCCAAGAATGATAATGTTTGATTGATCCATATTTTCTTTTAGTTGATTAAGGTATTGTGATTGAGATTTGGCAATATAAGAATGAGATTGTAGCTTTTCAAAACAAGATACCAATAGTTCAATAAACGTTGGAACATCTGTTGTTAAACTCAATAGTGTTGCACGATCAGTAGTTTGCCATTGTTTGTAGTGTATCTCAAAATCATCTTCGTATTCTCCAAAAATCTCATACAAATACATGGTGAGCAGTTCTTTACCAGGACAATTATCACACTGTGCAAGCATGCATTCTTTGTTTTCTACTGAGCAAACAGTTTTCAAAAGTAAATCCTTATACGTTAGTTCAATATTTAAGGCATCCACTAGCAAAATGGCATTTTGGTGATAAGAACAAACACAAACAGAATGTGTACCACTTGCACCTGGCAAAATGCACCACTTTGGTCTAAGTGAAGCAAATTTTGAGTAACTTATTTGTATTTCTGGATTGTTTTCTTTGTATAATACATATAGTTCCTTTAAATTACACAAAAGCAGTTTTTTTTGTTTGTGGACGTTCTTTTGAATGCTGACATAATCTTTTTTTCCAGGCATAGTTCGACATAAATCACTTGAGTCATAAAACAATTTAACTGAATCTTCTATTTCTTTATGTAAGACTTTACCCTTATACAATGGAGAGATACCTAACAATCCTTTTTTATTAAAAATTTTTCTAGCCATCTTGGCCTGGTATTCTGTAACCGAAAAGTTATTTTGTACTTCTAATATTGACCAACTTGGGGGTGCCAGTGTTAGAAGTTGAACAATAGTTCGTTTGTCAGAACATAGAATTTTTTCTTTTACCAAGCTCATAATTTCATCAAAGTTTGCAGCCTTCTTTTTCATCCCATTGGTTTCATAACATAGTTTTGAGGAAAATTGAGTTTCAATTTTTCTAGTAGCGTTATACGCCATTTCGTTGATGCATGCAACTTTTTGCTTTCCTTCTGACAGTATATGTTTTAATGATTTTGAATGAGATTTTAGAGGAGATAAACTAAAATTTTTGAGTTCTTTATTGATCTCCTGTCTTATTTTTTTGCATGGTGATATTAGAAAATCCTCATCTTGTTCACTCTTACTTTGCTCCTCTTCTGTAAGTTCTTTTTTTCTGGCAATCTTTTGTTTACAAGGTTTGCAAAGTTTCTTCCCAGGAGGAATATTCAAACAATTTCTCATCATGACTTGTGACTCTTTTATTGTAACTACGCCAAGATTTTCTAAAAGTAATTGAATTGTATAAAGTATGTCTGCACATTAGTTCAAAACTTTCGTTTATTTTTTGAAAAACATAAATTAATGAAATATTTAAATTTTACAGCTACATACTTGTGATTTTCTTTGTATGTCTATTGAATGGATCACAACAAGCTTTCTGCCATATAGGATACATTTTCAAATATTTTGTATTATGTCTTTCACATAATATTTCTAAGTTTGATAATTCAATATTACAGCGTAAAGATATAATTATTTTTTCTTCATTGCTTAAAGTTTCAATAACATCTTGTTGGCCTTCGCAAGCATCTGATGTCATTAACCCAATAGAACACATCTTAATAAGATAAATTATTTAGTATGAAAGTATTTCCTAAAAATAAAAATAAAATTCTTCTACTTAATTGTATGTAAAAAAAGTTTTTTAATAAATATAATTTTTAATAAATGTTGTTCTTAATATTATTATTATTAATATTAATAATAAATGTTGTAAAAAAAGAAGTTTTTAAATAATTATATTATTTAAATTATTAATTTTTTAAAATTTAAATATAATCTTACCAATAAATGTTGTTCTATATCTGAACTTTTATAAACTAAACTTTTATAAACTAATTTTTAATAAACTTTTACAAACTATAGTTGTCAAAATTAAAAAAAATATCATATTAACATAACAATTATTTTTTATAAAATGTTTTTATATAAAAAAAAAACCGGATGTTTTTTCAGTTGTTAAGTTCATATAATTAAGTTATCATATAATTAAGACTTCCTTAAATATATAAAAAGTCTATTAACCAAAATTAATTCTTTACAGAATTCTATAATTTGCTACACATGTACTATCTTTAGGAAGATTTTTAGCAGCTTTTAAGTGATGCCATACCCTTTTAATTTTTTAATTAGTTTGCAATGAAGTGTATTGAATGCTTTTGCAGTAAGAAAAAAGCAATTCGAAGGATACAAAAAAAAAAAGAACTTTCCTACTTAGTTTTCAGTAAAAAAAAAAGCTCTAGTTTTAAATATATTAAATAATGATATAGTATTAGATATTTCCAAATCTTTGGCTGTAGGATAATTGGAGCTTGATAAGAGTTAACAATGATGTCTCAACTTATCATCTACAACTTATCACTACTAAGTAACTACTGTTCATACAAAGTAGTTTGATATGTTTTATTGGCTAAATGGTTTAAATGACAGAGATATGGCAATGCCAGGTGTTATTGAAACACTATTCTCCTCCCCTCTAACTGTAATAAAAAAAAGTTGTTTTCACCATATCTTTTGCAATATGCTTTTTTTTAAGTATTCTTGGTAAATTGAACTAAATTAGAACATCACTAAAAATATTTTGTTGTTCCCTCACCCCTCCCCCTCGTTAGAAAATTGCTATGGGCACCCATAAAAGTGGTGTATCTTGGAAACTATGGTTCTATATGTTTTAGTTGTTTTTCCAGTTAGGTTTTTTGTGCCTAGTAAGATAATAAGTAGCTAAAAATATTAAAAGCAAAAAAAAAAAAATCTAGACGGGGGTGTTTTGAGATATATGACCCCTAAGTTTGAATATATAAATTAGGTGTGTTTTTAATTTTAAAGCATGTTCTGCTCATATTTCAGCATTCTAAGTGCATTTTTTGAATTCTGCATTAGAAAAGCATTATAAATGCTAATTTTCATATTTTTATTTTCATTATTTTTCATTTTATTAGAGCAAACGTTTTTTTAAAATGAAACAGAAACCAAGTCATTTTGGGAAACCAGGTCTATATTAAAACCTTGATATCTTGTGAACGGCTGAACATTTTTGGCTAAAATTTTGCATGTGAACTTTTCTATATGAAATGCAACAGCTAAAGAAGTTTAAAGAAAATATGAGACCTATGGTTCAAAATCTTGAAAAATTTGGGTGATTTGATGTGGAATTACCCTCTAGTCAATGCGTGTATCAGATTTTGCGTTAGCATTACAAAATTTGCAAATATCTGTAAGTCATATGTCAGGAAACGACACAAGACAACAAAAAAATGAACTTGGATTCAGTTCAATTTTAAGATATATCAAAATCACATTATGCTATTTTCACCTAACTGTAATTGTAATTAAAATTTATTACAAAATAACAAAACCTTTTAAAATGATTTTAATTATTTTTGTTTCTTCACTGAATGTTGTGTCACTGAACTGATAGTTTTTTCTGTAAAATAAAACGATATGAAAATTTTGTTGTTTGTGGCTTTTTTTATGACTGCCTTATTGCCAAATGAATAAATGACAACAACAAAATTTAATTAGTTTGGCAAGAATTAAAATTTCAGCGAAAACTCGATTTAAAAGTATGCTGATAAAAAAACACTTTTTTCTGCGTTGCGTCACTGAAGTCATGTTGTAATTTTTGCTATGTGTCAGTGTTATGTTAATACAATTGTGTTTAATTTATATTATAAAATTTTAATTCAAGATTGATTTAGAGTTCTAAAAAATTATTTGTGAGTTATAGAAAAATTTTTATTTAAGAAAATCTCTCCGCATGATGTGTTACTGAACTATGAATATATATATATATATATATATATATATATATATATATATATATATATATATATATATATATATATATATATATATATATATATATATATAATATATATTTAAAATTTAAACAGTTATCAACAATAACATTTTTTAAAATAACACTAAATTTAATTTAAAAAATAAATATATTAAATCAATAATAAACAAACTTAGCAATCTTTTCATCTGCAGTTATAATTGGCAATCCCACAAAACCTGATAAGTAACTTTTGAGAAAAGAATAAAATTCTTCTGGAAATATTGAGCCTACAAAAAACAGGTATAAAAAATAAAATCATTAAAATCATTTTTAAGAAATTATCAAAACATTTTATTATGACAACTGTTTATTATGACAAATGAATCAAAATTAATTATCAGAGCATATGCAGATAGAATTGTCCAGTAAAAAGCACTTCCTACTTTTCCTAAACTCAAAAGCAGTTTATTTAACTTTTTATTAGATACGTGTTTTGTTTCATTTCAATTTTTTTCATTAAATTTATAATTATAACTACAATTGAAAAGTTTAATTATAACTATAATTATAATTAAATTATAATCTACTTTAATTTGTTTACTTTATAGTATATCTTCTTCATAATACTTTTTAATAAACATTATTCTTTAATTGTTATTTTCTTATCTTATTTTTATTAAATATAATTTTATTGTTCAATTATTGTATCGTTATTGACCTAAAATGTTTACTTGAAATTAGTATTTGTACTACATGTAAATATTTTTGTGAAATGTAAATCAATTTCAGAATACAACTGATTTGATTCTATGCTATATATTAAGTCTATAATAACTATGTGAGGGCTTTGATACATTTATGTTATTTTTGTTTTAACTCAATGGATTTGCATAACAATGTTGCCATTATTAATGGATTCACATAATTGCAAATTAAACATACATAATAAAAATCTTAAAAACTCAATATGTTTATTCTTAGCAATCAAAATAATTCAATTTGTATTAATGAAGAAAAAGATGGTTATATCAATTGTTTGTATCAATGAAGAAAAAGATGGTTGCATGAATTGTTTGTATCAATGAAGAAAAAGATGGTTGTATGAATTGTTTGTATCAATGAAAAAAAAGATGGTTGTATGAATTGTTTGTATCAATGAAGAAAAAGATGGTTGTATAATAAGCAAACTAATCCACTTCAGCAAAAAATAAATCTACTTTTGCCAAAATTATTTTTATTTAAATAATAACCAATTTAATATTATAATTAAAAAATTTATGAATAAAATTAAATATTTATGAACCTCTATATTTAGTCATGTACTCTTTAGCTGTTAATCTTTTTGAAGGATCCATTTGAATCATGTGCATAATCATATCCTAAACAAATAAAAAACTTTTAAAAAGTTCACAACTTAAATCATGATAAAATCTTGTTTAAATTAAGTTCACTTTTAATTTATACATTTTTATTTTTTTAAGTTCACTTTTAATATATACATTTTTATTTTTTTAAAGATTTTATTAGAATTAAAAACAACCTTAATACTCTCATTAATTTTTTGTATCTTGACTTCAGGGTGAAAATCATTTAATCTGTAAGCGAGTAGTTGAGAAAGATCAAATAAGCTAGCACCATCACAAAATAGCTCTCCAACAACACATCTAAGTTAAATTAATTATTATTAAATATATTTCTGTAAAATTTAATTTTATCTCTAAAATATTTTCAATATTGCATATAAATATATTTTGGCTAAAATGTAAGAAGCATTTTTTTTATTTGAACTTATTTGTTTTTAATTTTATAACTAATCTTTAACAATATAAGCTCTGTCATTTGTCTTCAACAATAAAAGCTCTCTCAATTGTCTTCAACAATAGAAGCTCTGTCTATTTCTATTTTGCATAAAGCAAAAAAAGAATCCTATTGGATTTGAATTTAAAAAAGTTTGAACTAAAAAAAGCTAGAAGTGCTGTCAAAGTGTCTCTCTCTTATTAAATCTTTAATTGCTATAACTGTTTCTTGGGGATCAAAAGAAATAATAACAAAGTTGGGCAAGCAGAATCCTACTCAGCCAAGCTCCGACAATTTTTGCTACGCTGACTTTGCAATGTGAAGAAAGACATAATCATGAAGGAAAAAAATTTTGTCACAAGAGTATTTTTTTTTTTAAATCTGCTCGAAGCTTGACAAGTTGAGCACATTAGACTGCTACCATAATTATGGTATTAGAAAGAAGCAGTTCACAGTACACTATTACATGCAGGTCCTGCCAAACTAAATGCAATACTTTTTAAAGGTGTAGGTAGAACTTTTAGAGTTGGTTTTTGTTGCTCCTGCTATAGACACTGGCATTATCTATAATAATTTACATTGAGTTTTTACTTCTTACCTCCAATACAGTCATTTTTGGAGGTAAGAAGTGGAAAGTAAGAAGTGAAAGCCAATTGCACCTGAATTGGAAAAACAAAAGGATTATGCAGACAAACGCTGGATGAATTAGCTGAGTAGTGCCTAATTTGTGTGGTATCTACACACATGTGCTTGGTACCTAACAATTTTTTTTGTTATTGAAATTTTTCAAATTTAGCAAGCAACTCTAAGAATTTTCAAATTTTTGGAGTTACTTGCTAATTTTTGGAGGTACCTGGCTACCCTTGAAAGAGCTATGTAAATTTTGAAAATGCTCGGCAATCCAGATGATGGGTACCCTGTAATTTATGTATGTTTGCCAGGTACCCGGTAATTTGAAATTACCCTGTACCTAGTACACCTCAGGGGTTTCCAGTTAATAGACACCTCTTTTTTTTTTTTATTTCTAGGATACCAGACACCTTCAAAAATTACCAAGCACCTCCAAAAATACCAAGCACCTTCAATAACTGCAAAGCAAACCAGCACACTTTAAAAACTTATTGAGTACACAGCACATCATTATTCTATAGTATCATGAACGCATCTAAGTTTGCTTGCTAAGTAACGAGGGGCGTGGAGTCGTAAAAAAAAAGTAACAATTCCGACTCCGACTTAAGTTGTTGAATTTTTTGAGTACAGCTCCAACTCTGACTCCAACTCTAAAGCAAAAATTTTGAAAAATTCTTACAATTCTTTAAAAAAAATATTACACAATAAGTTTAAAACTTTTTTTTTGACAAATTTATGAAACCTTTTTGAGGTTTAGTATGAACATAAGATTAATTGAATATTTTGTACATGCACCTGCAATACCAAGAAGTTTTACTATTGAAGTCGGATTTTGTTTAGTGACTCCGACTCCGCTAAAAATGTTGCAACTCCGCAATTCCGACTCCACAGCCCTGTAAGCAAAGCATAATTAGTCTTGGATTACTTTTAAATACTTGACTAAAATCAATGGTCTCCTCAAATATTATTGGGAAGATATATATAAGAATTGTATTTAAAAAAATGCTTTAGACAGTGCTGAGGGTGCAGCTAAAAAATATCTTTTTTTTATTCTAATAGTCTGCTGGATCAGAACTAACGCAACATAAAATCGCTTTTATAAAAGCATTTAAACCAACGATAAGTCGTCACTGATTGGTCTGAGTCATAAACATGAAAAAAATGAAGAAAAAATTTTTATAGATGAATACAATCTTACCATTACTATTATATCAAATTTTCTTGGTATTTAACTTTTCTATGATCTCTTTTAAACCTTATAAAAAGCCAGGTGATAATACTTTATATATTAAAATCAATTTTAATCACCTACCAAGCATCATTAAATCAATACTAAAAATGATCTAACTGCATTAATAAAATATGTTCAAGTAGAAAGGATTATATTTCTTTATTATTTATTTCTTAAAACAATCTCATATGTAACATTATTATTTTGTCGGATGAACAACATTTAATAAAGATTTTAAACTATAAATAAATTTTATCAGTTACCAAAAAAATATTCATATTTATGTTCATATATAAAACTTGTCATAGGAACTTTTTATGATATAGAATTAATAAAATTGAATTAATAATAAACCAAAAAAATTTAATTTCATTTGTGAAAAAAATTCTATTAAACAAAAACACTTCTCTTTTTTTTAAAACCAAAAAATGAAATTTTTTGGTCGCTTTTACACATTTTAATCTATTAAGGAAAAACTTTTAAGGGATCCCAAGTCAAGACAAGTTGTGTTTATATTAAAGAGAATGTTTAAAAAAAATATTTGGGAATCTTTTTAATTAAAACAAAACAATAAACGAAAAAAACTTTTTAAAAGTTCGCTGTCTAAATTTTTTTTGTTTCTTGCACTCTATATAAAGCATTCTTATGTTTTGCTTTCTTTAAATTTTATTTGTTTCTTGCACTCTATATAAAGCATTCTTATGTTTTGCTTTCTTTAAATTTTATTTGTTTCTTGCACTCTATATAAAGCATTCTTATGTTTTGCTTTCTTTAAAATTTACAGAAAAGTCATACAACCAACGACGAACGGTTATTTTAAAAACAAATAATATTGATTTTTAAAAAAAAATGAATTTTTCTTTAAAAAAGAAATATAACATATATTGCAGCATATATTTTTAAGACTTAAAAATTACACTAAAATGTAGATGACAAGCTTCGACTAAAACTAAAATGTAGATGACAAGTTTCGACTAAAACTAAAATGTAGATGACAAGCTTCGACTAAAACTAAAATGTAGATGACAAGCTTCGACTAAAACTAAAATGTAGATGACAAGCTTTGACTAAAACTAAAATGTAGATGACAAGCTTCGACTAAAACTACCAAGTTAGTTTTTCTTGGAATATATTTATCATTTTGTTTTATTTAAAAAATTCAGCCCAAAGATTTTTTTAAACAATCTCTTTAATATGAACACCACTTGCCTTGGCAATTTGGTATCCCTTTAATGATTTGCTTGATGAATTAATATCAAAAAAATTGTTCAAGTGAAAATATTCCAAAATCCTTTTACATTTTAAAAACCATATTTAATTTAAAACTTTCAATTTAAATTAAATATGATGAAAAGAATAAATCTAAAACAGTTTCTTTTTTTAACCTTGGGAAATTTTTACCTAAAAAAAATTTATTTAACAATGTATTTTACAATAATTAAGTACAACATGTTTTTTAAATTTTCAATGCATAAACTTTATCAAAAGACAATTTAAATATTCAAATTGATAAAATTTTTGGCTCATTGTTAATGGCTTAATGTGTAGGTAAAATTGACATTTCATACATAAAATGCATACAGTGTCACAACTGCAAGCAGCCATTATTAGGTTGGGAGAAAATAAAGAATATTGTTAAAGAGCAAGGTAACGGTTATACTTGAAAAGTTGTATATCTTATGAAACAAAAGACTTGAAAAGTTGTACATTGTATGAGTAGGGAAAACATGAAGATGGGATTGAGTTTTGCAGCATTGATGTGCAAAAAAAAAATAAGATGAATAAAAGCATTTAGAGCATGAAGAAACAAATACAGTGAAAGGGTACAACTTTACTGAATTTTTAAAAAATATTATTCATTGGCTGAGAAGGCCGCTAGAGCCGAGGAGGCTACTTCACTCTTTTTTTTTTTTTTTTTTTTTTTTTTTAACATCTTCACTTCCAACAAGGCTGCAAGCAACCACTATAAGAGTTGGAAGTTACTGGAAGAGAAAAGACTAAATCTGTAGAGCAAGATAACGATTGACTGATGACTTAAAAGATTGCAAATTATATGAATCAGGAAAGCAAGATGAAGGAAGCAAATTCCAAAGAACTGATGTTCGAGGAAAAAAACTAGAAGAATAAGAGTTTTTGAAGCACTTAGCAACAGTCACAGAAAAAGGATGATACTTAATTGAATGGCGAGTAACACGAGAATGAATTTTAGTAAATGGCACAAGGGACACTAGCTCTTTAGAGCAGTGCCCATTATAGTATTTGTAGAAAAGAGAAAGAGAAGCAACATTACGACGATGTGACAAAGGTTGGAGATTGGCTGCCAGAGCAGGTCCAACTATGTTTACAATTCGTTTTTGCACCTTGTCTAAAAGAGAAAGAGCATCATTAGAAGATCCGCCCCAGATGTGGCAACAGTATTCCATACAGGGACGGATTTGAGATTTATAGAGATATAGAATAGAATCTGGAGTAAGAAAGTGTCGAGCTCGATAAAGAGATGCAACCTTAGCAGATGCTAATTTTGCAATGGATTTGATATACGGTTTAAAAGAAAGATCAGAAGTAAGAGTTAATCCTAGAAGATGAATGGTAGATGACTCATCTAGTACATTACCATTCATAAATATAGGAAGATCTAAATTATTACGATAACGATTGGCCGAATAAAATTGAGTTTTATCTGAATTAAAGTTCACCAGCCACTGTGAGCCCCATGCTGTAGCAGAAGTGAGATCCTTTTCAAGCTCAGATACCCCCTCCAAGCAATCAGAGAGTGTAGGCTTCTTATCATGACAAGAGTAAATGGTAGTGTCGTCAGCGAATAATGCCACCTTAGATGTGAGAATATCTGGAAGATCGTTAATGTAAATTAAAAAGAGTATAGGGCCAAGGATTGAACCTTGAGGAACCCCTGAAGTTACAGGATGTGAAGAAGAGTGTTGTCCATCGAGGACAACTTTTATACTACGATTGGAAAGAAAGGACTCAATAATCTTAAAGACGTTACCAGCTACACCATAAGAAGAAAGCTTATGGAGAAGACCAGCATGCCAAACTTTATCAAAAGCTTTAGAAATGTCAAGTGCGATAGCCTTAACCTCTCCACCTCTATCTAATGCACGGTAAAACCTTTCGGTTATTACTGTTAGCACATCAGCTGTAGAACGAGAAGACCGAAATCCATATTGATGATCAGAAAGTAAGTTATTTGATTCAAGATGAGAGATTAAGTGTTTGTTGATTAAAGATTCAAAAACCTTGCTTATGACAGGAAGAAGACTAATGGGACGGTAGTTAGATGAATCAGATCGCTCTCCGGAATTTTTGAAAATAGGGATAACAGATGCTGCTTTCCAGCATGATGGAAAACAAGACTCTGATAAGCACTTGTTAAATAGTTTAGAAAGTATGGATGAAAGCTCCAGAGAACACCTCTGCAAGACTACAACAGGAATGTTGTCAGGACCACAAGCTGTTGAAGAGTCTAAGCAGGAAATTACTTTAGATACAGAAGCTGAAGTGATGCGAATGTCAAGCAAGGGATCAACCTGTTTGACGGCTATGTCAGGTAAAACGCAACTAGTGGAATCAAGAGATGATATTGATGAAAAGTTCTTAGCAAACAATTCAGCTTTGTCTTTAGGTGAGGTGACAAAGTCTGAACCATACAAGAGAGAAGGAATAACAGATTTGCCCTTATTATTGATACTGTTAAAGATTCTCCAGAAGTCTCGAGAGCCTAATTTTTGTGATGAGATACGAGATTTAATGACCTGGGAATAGCGAGCTTTGGCGTCAGACAAAACCTTTTTACAATGGTTTCTGGCGATAGTGAACAGATGTCTGTTTTCTGGAGAATTGTTTTGCTGATAGATATGGAAGTAACGGTTTCGATTAGAAATTGCTGCAGCGCAATGTGAGGAAAACCAAGGAGAAGAGTGAGGCTTGACCTGGAATCGTCGAGAGGGAATAAAAGATTCCATGCCAGCCTGAATCCACGAAGTTATGTAAGAAGCACATTTGTCAGCAGGAAGACGAAAGATTTCTACCCAAGGGCCATCACGAAGAAAATCACGGAAAGAGTCCCAGTCAGCTTTAAGGTAGTTGTATGTGGTACGATGATAGGGGGATTCTGATGAAGTAGAAGAATTTGATAATAGTTTTAGAGAGATCAAACCGTGATCAGAAGTACCTAAGGGTGAATGTGGAGAAATTGAGCACTGACTAGGATCCAAAACAAGACATAAGTCGAGTAGAGAAGGTAAATGATTAGGGTTGTCTGGAAAACGAGTTGGAAAGTTGACTATTTGAGTTAGAGATTGAGAAAGGCAAAAGTTGAGGGCCTTAACGCCAGCAGAGTCACTGACACTAGAGCCAAGCCAATCGGTGTGATGGGCATTAAAGTCACCAACAACGACGATATTGGCCAATGGATAAAGAGAGAGGGCTTGGTCAATTTGATCAGAAATAACATCAAGAATAGTGCAATCTTGGGATGAAGGAGAGCGATATAGAACAAAGAGAAAGGCGATAGAGTGAAGTTGTGCTAAACGAAAGCACATAAATGAATAGTCTGTAGATTCAAACCTAGTTTCACGACAAATGGGTGAGTTCTTACGAATGTAGATGCCCAGGCCAAGCATGTGATTATTGGAGTCTTTACGAATTAAAGGAAGATAACCATCAACACTAAGATCACAAGATGGGACAGCCGAACTCAAATTAGTCTCACAAAGAGCAAGTAGGTCTGGTGAACTTTGCAAGAGATAAGACTCAACAGAAGAAAAGTTACTTCGAAGACCACGAATATTAGTAAATGATAGGTTTAGAGGACTTGGTGATGACGATGGTTTTTTGTGTTTTTTAGTTTTAGGTACTTTAGTCATTTTAAATTTATAAAGAACTTGACTCAAGTATAGATAGTACTCAGTACACTATTTAACAACTAAGCAATAGCCTCATTACTATTAATAAACCCTAAGCCGTAACAAAGGGCTCCAAATGTGGCCTCTGCAATGCACACCAAAAGTACAAACAGGGACACTATCCATGCGCAACATGGCACTGTTAGTACTCTGATATTTTTCGGCTGTTGATGGAATCAGCCTCTCTGAGAGCTACCACAGAGTTCGGGAAACCTGACTACCAGCCGGCCTCAGAACCATAAAACTGAGTTTTAGAGCTGTACCCTCATTAGGAGATAATAGAATGAGTTGCCCAGTCATAAAAATAGAGACACAAGCAATACCCACGCATTGAGTCAAGAAGATCCAGCGTTCAACATCCTAAACTGGAAACAATGTATTAAAAATACATCTGCGCCAGCCTAATAGATGAGGAAGGGGTGCGAGGCTGGTCAACAGATAGAATCTGTTTACCCCTTAAGTCTTTGCCTAGGAGGCCTTCTACAAGACAGCAGCTGGATGCATGTAACATCTGCCCAAGATGAGTATTTTTATCGAGACACCATCTCTAGCCTTTACTCAACCAAGAGCCCCAAGGCAGGGGGTGTTTTAATTCGGAGTTAACTTCTCCTAGCCTTTGCCTAAAAAAGCGTATCCTACAAGGCAGCAGGACATGGAGCAGGTTGTACTGGGTTACATGTTACCAGTAGCAGGAAAACCTGACCTGACCTTAATTGTAAAGTAATTATTAATTGAGATATATCAGCTACCAATATTTAATTTCAACACAAATGTTCAAAATGATAATTATTCCTTGCTTTCCTTATTCAGTTCAATTCCTTGCTTTCAGTTACTCTTCATTCATTCCTTGCTTTCAATTCCTTGCTTTCAGTTACTCTTCATTCTGAAGTTTGCCTTCAATTCCTTGCTTTCAGTTACTCTTCATTCTGAAGTTTCACTTCACTCTTTACCTCCACAAACACAAACCTTGACAATCAAGGCCACTGCACGGAGAGACAAGTTGCTAAATGACAAGTCAAGCAAAAATGAACTTTGAATGAAACTAGATAAAATGGCTTGTGTGAGCAGCAAGGTTGATATTATTTGTAGAAAAAAAAAAGAGATGCAACCTTTTACAACCATTGATGGAATAGTGATTCAATCTTAGCAGAAGGTCCATTTATATCTACAGTGTGTTTTCGGACTTTGTCTAGAAGAGAAAGAGCATCATTAGAACAACCAGCCCGAATATGACAACAGTATTCTACTTTACCGAAAGTTGAGTTGTCAGAAAATAGAGCCACTTTAGATGTAAGATTGTCACAAAGATCAATAATGTAGATAAGAAAACAATACAGGAACAAGGATAGAAACTTGTGATTATTGGAAATAAAAAAGAGTTTAGGCCTTCCAGGATAACTTTAATACTGCAGCTAACAAGAAATGACATAATAATCTCAAAAGATTTCCCAGATGTACTATTTAAATAGAGTTTATAGAAAAGATCAAGATGCCAAACTTTATTGAAAGTTCTTAATGTCAATAGCAACTGCCATTGCTTTCCTGCCTCCAACTCATGCATAACCTTTCTGGTACAATAGTAAGCAATTTAGCTGTAGAAGGAGAAGATCAAAATCTTTTGTCAGAGAAAAATTAGACATTAAAATGAGATAATATGGAATTTGTTGATTACATGGGACTTATTAAGATTACATGGGACTTATTAAGAAAACTTTTAAAGATAGATTTATAAGCATAAAACTTTTTTTCTTTTTAAAACAACACAGATGATGTAATTAACACAGATGATGTAATTAGTAATAACTAAAATAATGATAATGATTTAAATCAAAAAACCACCTTTTATAGCTGATTTGGAAAATTTCAAAAACCTATTGCACTTAATTGAAACAATAAAGTTTTAGCATACAAATAACGAATTTCTAAAAGAATTAAAGTTAGGTGTCTTAAAAATTAAATCAAACCCTAATATTTTGGTTTTTACATAACATTAACCAACTCACAATGAAAAACTAAAAAAAAATTTATGAAACAATATTATTAATTCTTATGAGAAAGCCTCTAAAAATTTGGAAAAGGCAATTGATTTAGAAGCCTAAAGCATCGCTAAAAATAAAAGCTTTGAAAACAGAATTGAAAACAGAACTGTCTCTATCCCAGCCTTTGTAACACTTAAAGATCATAAACCAAACATTCAAAACAAACTTTCTTTTAGGTTATTGTTTCCCTTAAAAAGTATAAGGTAATATATAAGGTCACAATAATCCTTTCTTGTAATTTTTTCATTTTAAGAAGAAATCCTAAATAAAAAAATGACAGAAACTTGTAATTGTAAATAAAAAAAACAATTGTCTGATGAATGGAAAATGTTTATCAAAAAATTAATGTACAACATGTGTGAAATATTTAGTAGTTAAAGACTTTTTTTGATTTTTGATTCCCTGTAATTTAATTTTTGGTATAAATTAAAGTTTATTAATTTGGTCATTCATGTTTGATGAGTCATTATTAATGAAACACTGTTTATAATTGAAAAAATTTGAGTAAAACTATAAAGTTAAAAAAAGTAAACATGTTTAAATCCTGTCATAAATTAAGTTTAAAATGTTTTACCCTACTGAAAATATATCCATTGCTTCAGTTAATTCAAATTGTTGGGTAGGAACTCCTTGCATAGGGAGCATAGTGCCAACCTGTTCTTTTTTATTTTCTCCATCATAAATGACATTACTTAAATCTAAATTTCTTGTACGTGAATCAATAAATCTTTCTGGAGCTAAACAGCATGTCCTTCTACGAGATGTATCAAAAAAATAATTGAAATCAGCAGGATTATCTAATGGCAAGAACACAGGTTTAAAACTGGCAATATCAGTTAACTGAACCCAGTTCCAACTAGTGACCATAATATTCTCAGTTTTTATATCCCCATGGCATACCTATAAATAAAAAAAGATTCAGTAACAATTGATATGAAATGTTTGGAGAAAATAAAACTATAGAAATCTAAAAAAGTAAAAAAGAAAAAAAACCTTAACAGAATGCATCTGTTCTAGTGCACATAGTACTTGAAACACAATCCATTTTTTTTCAACAATACTTAGAAATGGACGTGTACTAAAATGAAGATAGAATTAAAATATCAGATAAACAATCACTTTATTAAAAACCCTGGCTTATAACAGAATATTAGTTAATTTCATTGAATTCAATTAATAATACAAGCATAGTGATTTAATATGAACTTTATTTCTAAATATTATTTCCAAAAAATAGTAAAACAATGCTCACAGGCATTAAAACCATATATTTCTATGTGGACCATTGGTATGTTTTAAGTGCTTGCAAAAAAAATAATGTTTTTTAAAATGTAACAAACGGTTTCTTTCATCAAACAATTTGATACAAAATTGGAATAACTAAGCTGTTGAAATGGTTTTGAGGCTAAACAAATCAACCAACGTGCAAACATTTTCAATATATATAATATACAGTCTTCTCTGTTTAGCCAGCACTTTTGCACTCATGTCCACATGCCCGCAAAATTATGGGTGAGCGCATTCAGTTAAAATTTAAATAACATGTTTGTATTTCCATTTTTATTTTATTTAGTTTTTATTGAATATTTATACAAATTGTAATAATTTATATAAAATCTTTTATTTTTTTACTCTTTTTATTTTAATTATTATATCTATAATTTAAATAAAAAATTTGTTTAGCCAGGTTTTTTCTAACTATTTTATTTAGTAATTACTCAAAGCATTTTATATTTATTCAAAGCATTTTTTTAATTTAAATAACAAAAAAAAAAAAAAAAATTTTAAATCACGCACGCCAACCTAAAAATGACCATCCAATCGCCAACCTAAAAATGACCATCCAATCTTCTTGTTTAAAATTTAATCCGAGCATTTCAAACAAAGAAGACTGAATATATATAAGTTTAATATTGTTAATAATATTTATCATTTAGTAATATCAACAATAATGATATTCTTAATAAAAATGATAATCTTTATAATTTATTTATATTTAATTACAAAAATATTTGTATTAGTAAATAAATTTTTAAACTAAATAAAGAGGTTTTGTATTACTATTTTGTATTAATGAATAATAGTTTTAGCAACAACAAAAATTTTGTCTTACTGGTTAATTATCATCAAGGTGGACAATAACCAAAAATTATGAATGGTTAAAATGAATTACAAGTTGACAAGGTTTTGAATGAACATCAATTACAATATTTTCACTCATGATTGAATCTGGAACAACTAATTGAAGCAATTTAATACTTACTTTCAACTTGAATTTTCTAGCTATCCCACATACTTTTTAACCTTTTCAAATATGATTATTTGTGTATGGCTTTTATAAAAATTAAGAGCATATAATACCGCATTGATTCTGGTAAAATCTTTATAAATGCAGTGGCTTAACAATGAAATAAATGATTCATGAGAAATTGGGCATGTCTATGTATCTGAAGAAAAGCTTTTATAACTTGATTTTATTAATTTTTTAAAAATTTTATTACTTAACTCCAAGTGAAGTTGAGGTATAATTGCTTTAGAAAAATATTTTCTACTTGGCAAGCAATATCTTGGATTTAAATAAGTTATTAAAACCAGTATCTATAAATAAAATAAATAACGGGTTGTCTAAGGTCATCATCAACTGAGTTTACAATGAATAGTTTGAGACCTAGAGTTATTGATGCTACCATACTTTTTGTGACTTAAAATATTTATCAATAAAGTCTGCTAAAAAGTCTCAAATACAACTTCGTCTTTTATTGTAGTGCCAGTTGACTAAACTACTGGTATTATTGCCAGCCTGAGATGTTCCTTTCTGATCACTTATGTTTTGTTCTATATGATATTCTTTTGGATGATTTATTTTAATGTGGTTATGAAGAGGTGTTGTGGTAAAACATTTTTGCCCAGCTTTCATTGTTTCACATTAAATCATTCTTTTACAGATATTACAGTTTGCAACACATCACTTGCATCATTTGTTTGCAACACATCACTTGCATCATTTGTTTGCAACACATCACTTGCATCATTTGTTTGCAACACATCACTTGCATAATTTGTTTGCAACACATCACTTGCATCATTTGTTTGCAACACATCACTTGCATCATTTATTTTATATAATGACCAGATATAGCTCTTCATTATTAATTTTGTCTGAAATATAAAAATATACGTATTCACAACTGACATTAAATATATAACTATTATACACATACGTTTGATACCAACACATCTATCTGTTTTTTACAGTCGGTAATTTTGGTATAGCATCTATACAGTGCATAAATACTATATTGAAATTAATATTGGATTGCTAATTTTCAATGTAAACATTGTTAGATTCCAAATGCATTGTTACATTGTAATGAAGACAATATAAATTCTTGTTGTTCCTAGTTCAACGTTCAACTGTTATAATATTTAACTTTTATTTATAACAAAAACATGTTATTTACTTAATTTCCTTTAATGATAATTGCAATTATACTGTTTTCCTGCAGAGAAAAAAAATTAAAATATACATTCAATATCTATTTTTTAGTAAGCAAGATATAAACTTTAATTATTGCACCGATTGCCACTATAGGTGATATTGTATGTGAAGAAAATCAAGCTAAATTCTGAAATTCAATATATCCGGCATATCTGGGATATACGGATATATATTTATGGATATATAAATATTTATCTGGTATCTGGCTGAGTATGTAAAAGGTTTTATCTGGTATCTGGCTGAGTATGTAAAAGGTTTTATCCAGTACACCTCTAATACTAATACATGAAAACAGTTTTAAAGAAACAAAAAAATTATTAAATACCACATACATTTTCTAATACATAAAAATTGTTTTTAAGAAAAAAAAAGTTTGAATTTATCTTTAATTTTTTTTAGTCACTAATGAACTAGATACAAGTTGCTGGTAAAGTTTGTTGTTCTATTTTAAATCTGTTTGATGAAAAATTTAATTAACGGTTAAAAATTATTTTTGTTTAAAAGATGATCGAGCTAATTCTTTTTTTTTATTTCTGCTATTATAACTATATGATAATATTTACAATATTTGTATGATAATATTTATATTCATTTAGTTAGAATCATTATTACTATAATTGTATAAAGAAGTTTTAACTCAGCTTTTGATAAATTAAATATTAACTTGTTTGCAAACTTTTTGAAGTTGGAAAACTGTAGTAACATTGTTGAAGTTGAAGTTGAAGGAGAAATCACATTGTTTTGTAAAACTAAAATGTCACATTGGAGTCTTTAACTCTAGTTACTTGTTTATTATTTTTATAAAAATTAAAAAACATTTAATAAAAAATTTACCTGATTCGATCATACAAATTGTCGTGTACAAATTGTCGAATCAGAAGACCAGCACGATCAGTAAGAACAGATCTTTGAAATGGAAGAACATTTGGAAACCCAGACACACTTTTACCAATTCTAGACAATTCCTCTTGATATGGCTGCAGTGGTATTGACGGGTCATGAATTACAAATACTTTAATAACAACATAACCCTCCCTAAAGAGTGTTCTTAAAAATACTTATTTGTATATAACTAAAAATAAAAAATATATATATATATATATATATATATATATATATATATATATATATATATATATATATATATATATATATATATATATATATATATATGTATATATATTAATGGCATCTAAATAGTATTTATATAATAGATTTATATATAAAATTGAAAATATTTCATTTATGGTGATATACTATTTATTACTATTTATTTAACTTATTAAAATTTTAAATGAGTGATATTTTAGCTCATATAGTTATTTCAAAATCACATTCAACTTTGTTAGAAAATGGCGCTCACCTGTGTGATCCAAAATATCACACATTTAAATTTAATAGATTTATAAATCAGAATAATATCATATTGTCAATCTTTTATACTTGTGCGTGTATATAATTATATATATATATATATATATATATATATATATATATATATATATATATATATATATATATATATATATATATATATATATATATATATATATATCAGGCTTGGTCGGGAAGCGGGAGCGATCGCTCTCGATTGCTGACCACGTAAATAATATTTAGTTGCGAAAAGCTGGCCAGAATTTTTAGCCGTTTTGAGAACATTTTAAAAAGCAAAAAAAAAAAAAAAGCGACAAAGATTAATTGGACTGATGAGAGACAGTTACAAAAAAAAAATAAAAATAAAAATAGGCAAATAAAATATCTTTAAACGCAAAAAAACTTAAAGCTAAATAAATTACATTTAGAACAAATATTTTCGAAACATCGCTCTTTTACAATTTTTTTTATAAAATTAAGCGATGTTTTTTATATAAAGTAACAACTTACGATTGTTTAAAAGGAAAACAAATATTCTTTATTTAACTAAGTTTGCAAGTTTTAGTTTTACTTAAGCTTAATTTATTTTATAAATAAAAAAGTTAATTTTTTTAATACCTATTTTATGTTTCGCGTAGTTTGAAAAGTTTAACGTATTTAAAGCGATTCTTCTTAGTAAGATAAACAAATGAAATAATTAAATCATTGAATTACTATAGGAATTAAATTATCAAGATAGAAATCAACTAAAAAGATTAAAAATACTTAATGACCAGGAAGCGAAACTGCTTCACAATATCGCTGATGTTTAGTGAGTGGGCTTTTTAATTTTAATTAGTATTTAAAGCAGCAAAAAGTATAACGAGTTTTAAGAATGGCAATTTAAGCAAAAATAATTAGAGTTAGTAAACCTATATCTAGAAACTTTTCTTTAAATCTAATTATTTGCTATATATATTTGTGTTCTGTCGTGACCTCAGGCGCGATGCTTGTTCATCCGCGAGTTACTTTGTATGGGTTGTTTGTGTTTAGTAACCAGAAACTTCTTATATGTTTGTTACATAATTAGTTTTATTAACTTTAACGATTATAACTTCATTGAAAACGCAATTATTTTTGTAAGTCTTTGTTTAAATCATGAAAATTGCTTTAAAAGATACATTACGATAAAAAACAAATACACAAAATTACATTTACATAAAGAATACAATCTCTTTTAAAATAAAAAATAAGAATATACTAATAAAATCTATGATTTATAATAAACTTTTAAAATTTTGACAACTTAATATATATTTAAAACATTTATTTTTGTAAACAAATAATAAATATTTTTAAAACAATTTATGGTAGAAATCTCAAAACATAACAAATCGTGAATAATACAATTTCTAAAACATTTCAACAGAATACTCTAGAACTTTATTTTGCTCAATCAGCATATTTTTTGAACCAATAGAATTAGTTTGTTCGTTAATTTGGCGGGTTTTTAGTATTCGCGAATATTCTTTTTATTCTTTTGCACCAAGATGTTTTGAGAACACCAAGATTTTTATGTTTCCATGTATGTCCGTAAAACAAAAATGTTTTTTTTGTAAATGTCCTCAAAACGACTAAAAAACCTGGCCAGTTTTACGCAACTAAATATAATTTCCGTGGTCAGTATTCGAGAGCGATCGCTCCCGCTTCCCGACCAAGCCTGATATATATATATATATATATATATATATATATATATATATATATATATATATATATATATATATATATATATATATATATATATATATATATATGAGTTGGAGGCGGCAAAGCTAAGATTAAAATACTTCATCAAAAACTTTCAATAATGTTTGGGATGATGTTCTTTTCCATAAGCTCACTTTGTATGGGATACCTTATCAAATCATTTTTGGTAATCACAGTATTAAAGTCATTTGGTAATCACAGTAATAAAGTAACTTCAGTGGTACCACAGCAGTACCACAAGGCTCTATTTTTGGTCTTGTATTGCTTCTTATTTACATGAATATTCTTCACAACAATTATACATCTAAATTGACTATTTGCTGATGACTCAACTTTTACTCCTTTCTTGATTAAAAGTCTCCTCATTTCAATTTTCTAAAACAGGCAGCTAATTTTAAACCAGATCTCTCTTTTATAACAGCAATAATGGAATAAAGTAAAGGGGCTTGCAGTAGCCCTTGCAGTAGCCCTGCAGTAGAATTAAGTAAAGGGGCTTGCAGTAACTCCAACTAAACTCAGTTATTTACTGCAAACACAATATAAAAAAATGATTTTTAATTTAAAAAAACACAGTTTTTAATAATTTTATTTTATAAGAAGAAAGACCCATCAAATAGTTAAGTTTCTTGTAGCACCAAATATGTTTTTAAATAACAAAATTTTTTTTATTTCTGGTACCGTTTTATAACTTTAGTTGGCTATTGCAAGTAATTAAGAAAATAATAACTACAAATATTTTATAGTTCAAAGATCATTTCAATACTTTTATAGCATTAATTTTCTAACTTCCCATACACTTAAAAATGTTTTAAGTTGAAATTTACCACTACAAGCCCTGCACTAACACAGAGAAGAAATCTTATTTTTAATCTGCTGACTGTTCCAAGTCATCAAAATATTGATTTTTATAAACATTGTAAAATGTGGTTCTATAATTATCAAATAGAGCCAATTTGAACATAACTTTGTTCAGAAAAATATTAATGTACAGAATATTGACATTCCTATATTGATTACATTTACAGACTAAAACTTATTTATTTTTTATTCTACTTTATATCTTCTTGGTTTATTTTTTTCTCATTTAAACATAGTACAAAAAAGCATTGTTAATGTATTTGGACATTAACAATGCTTTTTTGGACTTTGTCTAAAATGCTCATTCTTGCTTGACTTGAAATTTAGCAAAGTTTCATCCTTTTACTGTCTGTCTGTCTTTTCATGCTCTAAACAATTTTATTCATCTAGTTTCTTTCATTACAGATCAATGCTTATAAAAAAAAAAAAAAAATTGCAGCTAATTTATATAATTATTTAAAGCTTATATTAAATTGCGATGATTAAATTGGGTACCAGTACCCAGTAATGCTAAAATTGCTAAAATTAAAACTTTGAGATTGAGTTTAAAAGATATTTTGAGATTATAGAGATTTATTAAACATTTTAAGTTTTATTTTAAGTTAAAATAAATTTTAAGAAACTATGATTGTATACCCAAATTGATGTGCATTAATATATAAAAAAACTACTTTTGATAGCAATTCTAAAAATAACTTTTGATAGCAAGTCTAAAAATAACTTTGTACATCTCCATGCAATCTTAAAATCATTTAATTTGTAAACAAAAAATAACAAACTTGAACTCAGGACAGGAGTCATAATAGCGTCGCAAACAATTTGGTTAGTTACAATTTGGTTAGTTACAATTTGGTTAGTTACAATTTTCATAAAACTAATTTACAACCAAAAGCAAGTCAAAAACTTGCTAATATTAAACTTTGTAAATTGCTTGACTTTGGCAATAAAATAACTTAATTGACCTTGGCGAGTCTTTAAATTTAATGTTAAACAACTTATTATCAGACTTATATGCAAAAAAAAAGTTCTTTTAAAGTATTAAGTGTGCTTCACATAATTATTCAAATATGTATAGTTTTATTTTTTATGTAATAAGTTTTATCAGCCTTGTTTAAATTCATTTAAAGGACTTTTTAAAATCTTAACACTTATTTTTCTGTTGAAGTTTTGATTAAACATTTTCTGTAACATTTTATATAAATTTGTTGTCTGACTTTAATAACCTCTGCTTCATTTCACATTCAGACCTGTTCAAAAACAGCAGTTCACATTCAGGCCTAGCAAGTGTAATTTAATGTGATAAACAAAAGTGATAAAAAACAACAACAAGAATCCTAACTTTTATGAAAACTAATGGAAAACTTTTAAAGTTTTATTGACATAAAAGTATCTTAAAGCATCAAACTTTGATATCTTACTACTAATATAACTTTGTAATTTTGATTCAGCCTATTTATGTTATAGATATTAGAGTTGAAAAACCTATAGCAAATATGCTAGTTTGAATATTTTTGTTGCTAAAAGTAATAGGTATAAACAATACTTAAAAGTCATTATTAGCCATATATATGAATAAAAGACACTATATAAAGAGTGAATGTCACTTATAAAAACATACTTAAAATCAGGCTTGTCTCTGGCTCTCGGACTTAAACAAAAAACAAAAAATGCTAATTTTAGAATATTTTTTTTGATCTTATATGCCTACTAAAACTCAAACCAATTACAGTAATTAGTTTTAAATCAACATTCATGTTTACAAGGTAAATGTATTAGTATCAGTATTCTAAAACCACATATTACATTAAAAAAATATGTTAAGGGTAAATATACATTTATTTCAATATATTATAAACCGAAAACTAAATTTCATAAAAATCAAATGTATTCGTTGTTTGTCCTTAGAAACACCAAATCATCAATGAGATCCGATGTCATATGGCTTCTTTGATCTGGCGTCAGAAATTTAAGTGCTGAAAATACTCGTTTAACACTAACTTGAGTCATTGGAAGCGCTGTGACAATATTGCATGATGATTGAATAATAGAAGGGAAAAACTGTATTGCTTCCAGAGCTTTTTTACATGCTAAGGTATCTTTTTTATTCAAATGGTTGTGTGCTAATTTGAGACTTTGAAGCGCGTCTTTAAATTCTTGTTCTTCTAACCCTATACTTTTAATGGCTTCTTGACTTGATTCTTGGTCTTTTTGTTTTCTTGCCAGCTCCATTCTCTTGAAAATTTTCATTTTTGGCGACAAATCTTCTATATTGTCATCCGGACTATCTGTAAAAAATGTTTCACAGGTTTCCCCTAATCTAAGAAATCCAAACTTATGCTTATTAAGCTTTTTGTGAACTAACCACAAAGTGTCTTCAGCAACTTGAAATTGTTGTAAGGATTAGAAATAATAATCGTTCTGTATTTATTTTGCATTTAGAAAAGCAATGAAATAAAAACTTTAAAAGGTATTTTTAACTTGTAATGTAAGAAATAAAATGTAAAATGTGTAAAACCTAAGACACTGCGGAAAACATTTATGATGTAACAACCTGTTGTTACTTCGTTAAGAAGATATTGAAAATACCTGTTGTTCTTCATTAAGAAGACATTGAAAGTGCAAGTCTGCAAATACCACTGCACAAAAAAAAGATTACTCATTAGGATTGCTTCACTAGTTTCCATAGATTTTTATATGGCTTGAGCAAAGACAGACTTTTTAAAATTGCCCTCAATCAACTGTTCTTTTTTAACAGTTCTCACACATAGACAAAGTGTCCAGAAGTGAGATCTTCATACTGAAACTTTTGGTTTTTCAAGAATACATTCTAATTTCTTCATTTGTTTCTAATGATATGGTTGTACAACAAACTTCCCTTTTGGATATTTTTCCTCCAGCTGTTCAACAACTTCACGTAATAGTATAAGACACTTAAGCATTTTAAACGTGCTTGACCATCTAGTTACGTTGTCTATAACTGCCACCTATAAAAAAGAATATTTTTGAATCTTGAAATATAGCAAATAATATATATATATATATATATATATATATATATATATATATATATATATATATATATATATATATATATATATATATATATATATATATATATATATATAAATGTCTAATATGATTACTATAAAAGGTTTTGTATGTTTGCAAAATTCCATTGGAATCAGAGCACGACAAGCTTTTGCAACCTTGCGAGTACATTTAAGTATTGTTTTGATCTCAGAGTCTTTCTTGCATTGGTGACAGTTGAAGTTGGCAAGTTGAAGTGTGTGAACACCAAAACGTTGAAGATAAATGGTGTTCATATTTTTGGAAATTTCATCAAAGTAACCATCATTTTGCTCTTCAAAAAATTCATTTTCCTCAGCATCTTCAACATCTTGGCCTTTTGTAATATTGTTTCCGCATGTATAATGTCTTTCATTAAGTTCTTTTTCAGTAATGTCGATTATCTCATCCACTTTGCAAAAATCATTACCCATTTTAACCATGTTTGACTCGTTATCACTACTAATTCCAAGAATTTGTTCTTTGCGGATTCCAAACTTGTCAAGAACGCTTTCAAGTGCTTTTAGAATATCTTCAGTTTTATGTTTAGCATGTATATTGATAACTGCTAATGTTTTGATAAATATTTTGCTGTCAGAGAAAAACTGGGTATTGACACCAAGAAAGCTTCGACGATGTCTTGACGCTCCATCAACTTTGAGGAAAATCAATTTTCCATTTAAATCACTTTTTAAATCAGACCGCTATTTTTCTGCCAAAAATTTAATTTGGTAACAAATACTTTCACAGCTTACCTTTATGCCAAACTTTTTTGCCAAATCGCTATTCCCTCACCATTAATTATGTTAAAAGAAGCTCCATTTTGAAGTACTTACATATTTAAAGCTTTTTTGAATTCTTCTTTGGATATTGTGATGGTAACTTTGTTAAAAAACCCGTCAACCATTACTTGTTTTTTCTGTCCGCCAAGCGATGTAGAGTCTCCATTTTTAGATACAGTAACATCTGAAAATTTTACAATTCTTTTTTGTGCATTTTTTTTTTCTCTTGCTCCTGAAAGATTTTTTGATGAAGTGCTCTATGACTTTTTGTAATGTGACGTTTCATGTTTGAGGTTGGTTTTTTAACTTGTTTTCCATCTATAAGTGTTTTAATTTGTGCGCCAAGAACTTTTCCAGTTCCAGTCTCCTCAACAAGAACCTGACAAATATATGCTCCTGCTTTTTCACTGAAAAAAAACCATTTCAATTCATCATCAAACATATCTTTCTTTCCCACCATGGTCATATTAGTTGTGAAATTCATTTCTATGATAATTTTAAATCAACAATTTAATCTGATACTATAAAAAAAATGTAAATCACGTTTTCTAAGGTGGGTTTATTAATTAATTTAGCATTTTATTAAACTTAATATATTAACTAAAAATAATGTAGAACTGAAACACGCAATTAATTGAAATTTTTTTTTTCTTTCTTCACATTTTGAAACTAACTATAAATTAAATCTTTGATTTAATAATCACATCATACCTGGTTTAATTTGCAATTTAACATTTTAACATTTGTAAAATCGTTTTTTTATTGGATTAAAAACTTTAAAAGTTTCAAATTTCACATGCTCGAATGTAATTACAACTAAGTTTAAAAAAATCTATTTTAAAGGTTTTAATTAATTAAAAACGTGATAACATTTCATGTTTTAGTTACTATTTACAAAAAACAACAATAAAAAATGCAAAGTGCTTAACTTTGCATTTTTTATTGTTCAATGATGCCTATTAAAACTTATTTGATTGGAAAGTTCATTTGTTTAGCTTTCTATTGATATTGATAAATAGTTTGTTATGCTTTTAAATAGAATTTCAATTATTTTATATAAATATTATTTATATAATAAATATAATAAATAGTTCTGCTATCCAAACATTATTCCATAAAATGTGCGGTCGCAGCGAAAAGATATTTTTTAAAACAGCTGAAGTTAACCAATCATTGGCGTGATTATTGAAGACTAATCAAAACGATAATATAAACAATTATATAATTAACAAAATTAATTTTATAAAGAAACAACTTAATAAAATCGTTAAGTTAATTTTTAAGATATAGGTAAATTAGTTAATTTTTAAGATATGAATAACCTTTGATTATATTGCGCAACAAATATTTAACAGTCTATCAGTATATAAATATAATATAAAGCAATACAATCTATTATTTTATTTTACATTTTAACATATACATATTATGTAATGCTGTAAGAATGTTTCCATATAAAAACTTAATTTTTTTTTTTTTTAATAAAGCATTATAAGAAATGCTAATATGATATAATAAATTAAACAAAACAATAAACTTGAAAAATAAATTTTTTCAAGAAAAATAAACAAATATCTAAAACTCTACTTATGCTTGGCTCTTGCAACTTTCAAAAATCGTGTGCTTCCTAGACTAAAAAAAAAATTTTTTTAATTTAAAATTCTAAATTTAAATATAAAAGTATTGCAGTTGATATATGTTATATATCAGATATACTAATTGTATGATAAGTATAAATTTATATTATATTTATATAACTGTAAATTCAACAATTTCTTTTACCTGCTTTCAAACTGAAATTCTGGCAATTCTACAAAGTAATTATCTGCACTCAAAATTTGTGCAGGTGCAATGCCAGATAAATGACTCCCCATTATTCATTATTTATTTCTAAAAAGAAAAGAAAAGCACATACTATTATGTGTTCTAAACACAAAACATAATAATGATTTGATGACATATATTAATGACAGACTATAACAAATGTTACATGAAAATTATTCTAAATAAAATATTTTAAAAATAATATATATATATATATATATATATATATATATATATATATATATATATATATATATATATATATATATATATATATATATATATATATATATATATATATATATATATTTATTACACCCTTAGTTTATTTATTGCTAGTAGTTTATCACTACTAGCAATAAATAAACTAAGGGTGTGTAGAAATAATAAGTAATAAAGCAAGTGTAGTAAATGCATTACATTGGTTTTAAAAATAATAAAACTTGTTTGGATAATAAAAAATCAGGGGTTTTATACACTAGTGATCAAAAGTTTAGACTCAGAATAAAACTTATAGTTTCTTAGTGATTTGTGATTTAAAAAAATGCCTTGTTTGTTTTGTTTTTAATTTTATTTTTAATCCAGTTTATTATTTATGAAATTCTCTTTAATATATATAAAAGACTTGAAAAGAAAAACAAGTTTAAAGTATTTTATTTTGAAAATAGCAAAATCATGTAAAAAGATATCTATAAAAATCTTGTTCATAAGTTTAGACTCAGGACTTTTCACTTTAAACTGTAAGTCAAGTTAATAAGGTATGTGACCGCCTTTGTTAGCTATGCAAAGTCTACATCTTCTTTTAATAGATTCAAAAAGATTTCGACAATGTTCAAAGGACAAGCCATCAAACAACTCTTTTAAACTTTTTCGTAGTTCTTCAGCTGAAGTTACAGGAGCTTTGGTCAGTTTTCAATCAAGCACAGACCATACATTTTCCATTGGATTTAAATCTGGCGATCTAGCTGGCCACTGGAGTAAATTGATTTTATTTTCTTTAAACCAAGCTGTTACTGTTTTTGCTTTGTGACAAGGGGCATTATCTTGCTGAAATTTCCATTCTGGCTCATCTCCAAAAAATAAGTCTCTTGTTGGAATCAAATTATTTTCAAGCGTCTCAATGTATCTGTATTGATCCATTCTACCAGTGTACAAGTAGCATAGTCCGGGTCCATCATACGTGATACAACCCCAGATCCCAACTGAACCTCCTCCGCCCTGTAACCGAGGTACAATGAAACGATTATGAAACTTCTCATTATGGTGTCTTCGAACAGTTACTCTTTTTTTTCGATTAACGACTGCATAATTCGATTCGTCGCTGAATACAATTTTTTTTATATCACTATCACTCATCTTAAGAATTTTCTTGCAAAATTGTAGCCGTTTGAGTCGATCTGATCTTTTAAGCATTGGTTTTCTAGCAGCAGTATACGAGCATAGTTTATGATCAATTAATCTTCTATTTACTGTCTGCCTTGAGATGTCATTTTTAAGAGCTAGATTTATTTCTTGAGCAATTTGTTTGGCACTATACTTAGGATTTTTTCTGGCAATTCTGTATATACTATTATCATCAGTGGTAGTTGTTTTTCTGGGTCTTCCGGATCTGATTTTATCTAATGTGCTACCTGTTTTTTTCCACTTAGCTATTGTTTTAGTGACACATGACTGTGATACGTTCTTGAGAATCAACTGAACTTTTCTTGTAGAATTACCAGCAAGGTGCAAGGTGATAATTCTTTCTTTGATTTCTTTTGATACTGATGTTTTACCCATTTTCTAAATATTTTAAATGCAAATAATGAGTAAAAATTGTATATTTTGATTAGCGTGCACTAAGTTAGTAAATAATTTAATTTTTAAATGGATTTAAACATAATATTTTAGAAAATATATTTTGATCCATGTTAGAATTACAATCTTTAAAAAAAAAGGTTAAGCACTTATATGGAAATAAAGATAGAAAAAGTGAGTCTAAATTTATGAGACACATTTTATTTGTTTTTAAATAGCGCTATTATTATAAAATAAAAAAAAAGACCAATATATAAAATAAAAGGTGTGTGTTTTTTGTAATTATGTTAGAAACAAACTAAATAAGTTGAATTAAAAAAAAAAATTTCAAGCATTATCTTAATAAATTTTTTTTAGCATTTTCAGAGCTAAGCTTAAGAGATTTTTTTTCTGAGTCTAAACTTTTGATCACTAGTGTATTTACATTGCTAGTTTTAAATTTTTTTGAGGTATAAAAATAAAGGGATATATTTATACCCCAAACAAACTTTTGACTTGAACATGACATATTTTTAAATATCAATGTTATTGTAAAATTAGTAATAAAAAAAAAAAACATTATACACTTGCAACTTCAAAAGTAATTTTGTTTTTTTATTATTTTGTATAAGTCATTGTTTTTGTATACATATTTATAACAATCTTAATAATGCATGTTGTGTCAGTAGATAGATAACAGACATTATAATCATTTTATATGTTTTATAGATACCTAAAACAGAGTTAAACAACTGCCTTTTAACAAAATAAAATTTTTAAAAACTATTTTAACAAAAAAAATTGAAATTAAAAAGTATTATTTTAAAAATTTAAATGTTGCAAGATAAATTTAATATATTCCAAATAAATCTAGGTTACCAAAATAATTTAATTCAAAATGCGAAAAACCGTAACCAGATAAATAAAGACCATTTTTAGTTTCAGAAACTACAAATAGTTTAAAGACCATTTTTAGTTTCAGAAACTACTTGATCTTACGATCAAGTAAATTCAAGTAGCAAAAATAATATCAATTTCAACAATTATTTACTACTTGCTAGAATATTGGAATTGCTAAAATAAAAGAAAGTGTTTTAACAAAATATTTATTTATTGACATTAATTTTTTGTTACATATTAGTAATATGTAAAAAAAAATTTTGAGTAATAAATTACCTTTCTAATTCAGAATTTTTAATACACATATAGAATATTTATTTTGCATTTTATTTATCATTTAAATAAAATGCAATTATTACGAGTATATTCGTTACACTTGAATAAAGGGTTAAAAAACTATAGTTTGTAAAATTTAATTAAATTTGCAACTCGATGGAAAAGGAAACTAGGAAATTTAAAACTGTCTTTTTTAAACACGCGATTTTATTTTTTTTTAATTTCGTTATTAAGCATTATTTTTAAAATAAAAACAAATTTTTGCGTATTGGCGAGACTTTCGGATCACAAAAATTTTATCTCCAGACTAAAACTTTCGTTAAAGTTTATGGTTGCACCGAAATAGTTTTTGTGATTATTTTAATCTGCTATAACACTTAAGGCATTGATGTACTGTATTACTCCAGACGGCTTTGCTTTTAACAGCCACATTCAAAAACTTTATGTATTTGATAACATTTTTTGTCAGCTTTCAGAACATTTTTTAGCATTACTTAAGGAAGTTCCGATTTGTTTTACAATTAAGTTTACAATAATATTACTAGTTATAAATTTAATTTATAGAAGTCGAAAATTTGTTTGAAGAATAATAATATCCCTGTATTTTCATATCTCAAACAGAATTTAATTTACAAATAAAAAAATAGCCATTTGTTTTTATACCTCGAACAATTTTACATTATTTTTCAGTTAATGTAGCAATAAATAAACAGTAAAAATGATATTTAATTAAATATAAACATTTTTGTAGTTTGTGAATTGCAGATAATTTAATCGGTATGCATAGAAACCAGTTCTAAGCGCAATGTGATTCGTGTTAAAGAAGACGAGTCATTGACTTAGCTCCTTCTATTATAACACTCCACTGCAAGTTTCCTAAATACCGGATTAGTCAAAGAGCAGTCAGCTGTTTTAAAACTAACAGTAAGTTTTGTGTTGTCTATTTTGTTTCGCGCATTTCATCATAACCTATATTTTATTGTTTTTCATTTGCTCGCAATGAACACAATAAAAAGTTATGATATTTTTATCTTCACTAAATCAAGTTTTGAAATATTTTTACGTAATTTTTCTATTAAATAACAATCAACTAGTATCCTATCAAAATTATCATTAAAAATCATTATACATATCAACAACTAATTAAAATTAACAACCGTTATCGTCATCTAATGTCGAAGAATATAAAGAAATGATAAGTTCTAAGAAAACGATGGGAGCCGACTGCATGTAAAAATATTTCATTTTTATAAAAAAAAATAGCCACGAAAGTCTGAAACTTTATTGCTTGAGTTCCATAAGTATAACATAGGAAACCCAAATTTTAAAGCTATATTAGACAGAACTTAAACATCAAATTGATAACAAATGTTAACTTATAAAATTTGTTGTAAAATTTGTAAAAAAATAAATAAATTTTTCCACTTTAAGTTATCTGAAAAAATTACTCCTAGATCTCTTTCTTAAACTGATGTTTGTAAATTCTATACATTTTTTTTTGTTTTTATATTCTCAATAAATCTATTTAAAAAAGTTTAATAATATAAATATAAACAAATACTTTTTTGGATCTTATAATAAGTTTATAAATATCATTATACTACTGTTATTATTATTATTTTCGTCGGACCACAATATTTACGATTAAACAAGATAAACTAAGCTGCGCTGAACCATCTTACATTATCCGGAAGCAAAATGAAACTATTCAATATCTTCTAAAAAGAATTGTCTTCTTCTTGCTCCTGCCAGGTTTTTTATTTACTTGTAATTTCTTTTTGTTATTTTAACTAACGGCAAATATATATATGAAAAAATAAAAAAAATAATCATTAGAATGAAAAATGGAAGTAGAAATCAATTCAGCTACGTTTTGGTTAAACTTTTCTTTAAAAAATAAATCCGCAGAAAAAGCTATTGTTGTAAATTCAATTACAAAAAAATACGTTAACCGAACAGAAAAAAAAAGTGATACATTGACAATCTATTGTAAATTTTTTCTTGTAAATGGAAAAAAAATGTTAGTAGGCCTACGCAATACAGCAAAATCTATAAGAGTGCCAAAAAAGATTCTGTTCCGGGGGACGAAATTAAAATAAAAGCTAACATTTTTAACATGTTTTTTTTTGGCTTTAAAACATTTCTTTAAAATAAGTCGGGTAATATAATAAATTTTTTTTATATACGAAAGAGTATTTTATACGAAAAAAGTATAGAGTACAGGTAGTATGTTCTTTTTATACGAAAGTGTATAAATAAAAACAGAAACTTTTTTTCAAAATTAAAAAAATCTATTTGCATGTCTTTACTTTAAATTTTTTGTTTTATAACTTAAAAAAAAATGTTTTTTTTATGTATCTTCCAAATTTTTGTAGGTTTTACATAAGTTAACATTTTTTTTTTTTTTTTTAAATATATTTCGCTTTTTATATAAAAATAAAATAATAAAATTACAATGAAACTTTTATATTACACAAAGAATATATATAAATCAGACAGGGGCTCAAAGAAGATAAGGATAACTGAGGTTACCACAATTTTTTCATAGAGCCCCTTTACAATATCATTTAAAGCCCTTTTAGCTTTAGAAAATTTACAAAAAATATTTTATCTGTTAAATACTACGTAAAGAGTAAAGAAAAACTCTACATACATATATACACATATATACATATACCCATAAAAACACACACATATACAAACATTCTTACATATATGTCAAAAATTTAGGAGATGCAGTTTCATTTGTCGTTTAAAAGAGAAAGTGCTTTTCAAATTTTTTATATTGTTATTTTTTAATTGATTCCATAATGACGGGCCTTCGCTAATAATTGAGAATTTCGACACTTGCGATTTTACTATGCTCAAGTGATGGTTATGGTTGTTATTTGACCGAAGATTGTATTTTTGTGAAAATGCTGATATAAAAGTCTCAGAAAACACTTTTGGCAGCAAGTTATTCTTATATTTATACATAAATATTAACATTTGAAGCGAATTAAGTTTTGATATATTTAAAACATTCATGCATTTCATTACAGGGGAAGGGTTTTCTAATCTCTTCAAATAGTTAACTGCTTTACATGCGTGGTTTTGTAGGCTCTGTAATCTTAATAACTTAGTTTTGTGTGTGTTAACCCAAACAATATTAGCATAGGAGAGATGACAATGAACAAGACTGAAGTAAAGCATTTTGCGTGATTTATAATCAAGAAAGGCCCTAGATTTATATAATACACTTATAACAGAAGATATTTTTGCTTCAATGAGACTAATATGTTTTTTCCATGATAGGTTCTCATCAAATATTACTCCCAAAAACTTTGAATGATTTACTCGATTAATTTCATTTTTATTGATTGACAGTTTTGGAAACTTTAATGGAAGATTAGTTGATTGTCTTATTTTGTGGAAGAGAGTATAACTTGTTTTTTCACAATTTAATGATAACTTATTAGCTATAAAACATTGATTAAAGCTGTCCAATTTAATCACCACTGAAAATGTTTTAGACAAAATGTACTTTATAAATAGCTACAAGCAGTGCAATTTGGAGAGCGCAATCAAAATAAAAATTAATAAGACTATAAGATTTTAGTTGATTTTTGTATTATTATTCGGAAATATATATTATATATATTCAAGATATTTTTAATGCTAAAATTCACTTTTAAGCAATTAAAGCACATCCATTAATTTTTTTTTTTGTTTTCTTTGAAATTTATTTATAGAATATAATTAAAAATGCCTGAATAGAAACATTTAAGTGGTAGTCATTACAAAAATAAAAGAACAAAAGGTTAAAACATTATCAAAATATTAAAAATTAGGGGGCTGAAATTAAAAAAAAGAAGCGTTGTTTATAAGAATATTGGATATAAATTCAAATTTTTGATGAACCTGAGCAAAATCGGTTCAGTTATTGAACTTTTAATCGATGGAGTCGGTTATGTCATTATACAAAATAGTATCGGAGAAAAACTATTTTGTGACTGCAATCAATTTCAGCATTTTTTAGATATAGTGTGCTTCAAACAAAATAATTACTGCTTCTAAAATGTTGACACTAATTTTTGAAAAAATCTTATTGATTTATTTCCGAATCTTTATACAATTTTTAAAATTAATCTAACAATATCTAAAACGAGCTGCAAAGCAGAACGGTCTTTTGCAAAAATAGCTTTTATAAAAGAAAAATTAGATTAACAATGACGGATGAAAGGTTGTATAGCCTTTCAGTTCTGTTAATTGAATATGATATCACGAAATCCATTTCCTATATTGAAGAAATTCACGATTATGCATCAGATAAGCGCAGATTAGAATTTTTTTTTTAATTTATTGTTTTTATAATTACTTATAATTATGAAAAAGTTTTAATGTAAGTGTAATTTTTTAGTTTTAATAGAATTTGATTTTTAAGTCTGTTGTTTCATTTGCTCACAAACACATTAGGCTATTTCAGATATTTAGAAGATTTAGCTTCTGGGTTGCAAGGGTAGGGCCCCAAAAATTCAATCACCAAAAAATCACAATCTACCACTGATTTAAAAGCTTTTAAATCAGTAGCGTATTGTGGCTTTTTGGGGCTCTAGGGGTTCTTAATTTTTTTTTAAAGATAAATTAAGACATCAACTTTTAAGTTAATGAATAACGCGAAGTGGTAATATCGTGAAATATCGTGATAATTATCGTGTCGCGGTTATATTTGAACTTGAACTTTTGGTACTTTTTAAAGAGCGCAAAAATATTAGCATTTGAGAACAAAAAAAGTTGTTTAATTAAGGTTTTTCTACGAACTATTTTGTGTACAAAAGAAGTGTATATAAAATCTTATTAGATTTATTGTTTGATAATGTAAAGTTTAACCCTGAGATTATGAAATAGCCATTTCAAAGCTGTAAAAAAAACTCACTTATCCTAAGGGAGTTTACAGTAAGTCTAATGCTAAGTCTTAGGCTACCCTCTATTATGATATGGTTTGTGGTCAATGAATTTCCCAAAACAAGCATTTTTTAAGTTGTTTTAATCCTGAGCATAGGTATTTCATAAATCTCTTTTTTAAGTAATCTCTATTTTAATATATAATTATTACTTTAAATACTAAATTTTTCAAAAAATATAAGCAAAATTATTTTTGGAACTGGATTTCTTAAATCTCAATAGTATATATAGCATCTTCACAATATCAAAATTGTTTAATAATTTTATTTGATCAATGAATCTACAATGTGTAGTACAAAGTAAAAATTTATAGTACAAATTAAAATTAATTGCTTGTGACTATGACTTCCATAGCAATTGTCACTGAAAACTCCATATCATTTTATATGTATGCCACCTAATTTTTGCATTTTTTTGATAGCAGTTTTATTTTTTTTGGCAGATTTTATTTATTCAACGTAGTAGTAGAAAGTGTATTACATTTTATTAGGTCACATAGTATAATGTGATTTGAGGTGTATGATGGTTTTAAAATAAATAAACATTTGTTATGAACAACGAAGATATATAAAATACCTGTAAATAAAAATAAGTAAACTTTTTATCTCTTATTTAATCCAATAATATAAGATTTTTCATAGTTTGGACAAGGTGTTTTGGTATCAACAACCAAAAACAGTAATTTCTATTTCAGCAAATGGCCCAGCTGTAAACATTAGAGGACATAAAGCATGCGTAGATATTGTGCTAATGGTGTGCAAAATGGTGAAATAAACTACCAGAAGAAATCATTTCTGCCAAAAGTGTAAAAATCTTAAAGTACAAGCTTGATAAACATGGATATTATGAAACTCTGATCTCTATGAATATTTCAAAACAGTAATTAGAATGGGCTCATATTAGATTCAACATGGCGTTGAATCTCAAGGAGCATAAATAAATAAATATATCATAAAAAACTTAAAATAGGTTTGATATTAAATATTTTAATTGATGTTAAAATTGATTTTAAATAAATTTTTAAAAGTTTAAAGATTTTATATAATTTAGCATGCTATAAGTATAAACTTTTTAGTTTATGCTTATTTTATTACTTTAGATAATAAAATAAAATAGAAATAAGGGCCATATTGAATTTATTGAACATTTAAAGTTAATATAAATTTTTAATTTTTTAGTGATTATAGTAACATTTTAAAATAAAGTTATGACTTTCACATCTACAACAGATACATCTATGGTATTTACATCTATGGCTGATATATCTACAGTTTTTACATCAACAACATCTATGACTTTAACATCTTCAACTGATATAATACCAACTGAAAATAAAGGTTTCTTTATTTATTTGTAATAATAAGTTGTTTTAACATATCCAAGTTGTTGAATTTATGTATTATGCACTTAATTAAAACCAGTTGTATTTATGTAACAAAATATGTGTGACAAATTTATGTAACAAAATATTTTTAGTATCATTAAATACTAAAACATGTAAAACAGTTTAATTTTAACTTTTAAATTTTAGTGTGAAATTCAGACAAAGAATGCAAACTTTTTATTTACATATTTGTAATTATGTTAAACTTAGTTTAACCATTGTTACTAATGCCATTAAAAAGTATATACTAATAGAATCAAGGGGGAAAAAAATGGACATAGCTCATTTGCTAAATTTTTAACTAGATTGCTGTATCCTTGTGGTCACAGTAGCGTCACAAAAACTTCAATTATTTTGGATGGGGGAAAACATTAGACAATATGCATTATTAACATATTTCATTTAGTGTTTTCATTGTTAATGTTACATTAAAATATTAAAAATTAAAAACAAAACATGTTAATGACAAGTTTTGGTCAATGTTTTCCCCTATCTAAGATGGTAGCACGTTTTGTGATGACATTGTGACTCCAAGGATTCACCTTCTCAATACAATATAGGCATAATGGACTCAGCTCACAAGTGGTTTGAATCATTTTTAGTTAATCGTACCCAAAATGTTAAAATTGGTAACTTATACTCTACAAACCAAAATGTAAAATATGGAGCACCACAAGGTATAGTACTGGGTCCAAAACTATTTAATATCTATATGAGACCACTGTACAAAAATCTGAACATAATCAATGTTAGAACTTTTGGATACTCAGATGATCATCAAACTCTCAAAGCATTCCTTTCTTCTTTGCAATATAATGAATTAGTTCTGGATATACCAGAATGTCTTGGACACATATCTAAATGGATGAGTGAATCATTCTTATGCATTAACCAATCGGAAACAAAAATATTAATTATGGCACCACCTAACATTCAAAAAGATATTATTATTAAAGGTACTTTTGTTAACAAGGAATGCATTAGATTTGTTGACTCCACAAAAAGTTTGGGTGTGATACTTGACAATGAACTGTCTTTGAAAACACAGATAAATAACATTGTGAAAAGTTGTTATAATTTAATCAGCAAAATATCCAAAATAAAACAATTCTTATCGCATAAAGATTTGTGCACCATAGTTTGCTCATTAATTTTTTCACTGCTAGATTATTGCAATTCCCTCTACTTTGGAATTAAGACACTATTAAAAAAACTGCAGTCTGTCCAAAAATGTGCAGCAAGGCTAGTATTTAAAACCAGAATAAGAAAATCAAATAAATGACCAGGTATTTATCAATTTGCATTGGCATAAAATTAGAGAAAGAATTTATTACAAGGTTTTATTAATAATGTACAAGTCTATTATCCAGGAAGCGCCAGCATCATTGTGTAATTTGATTCACTTCTCAACGTCAGAGAGTACTCTGAAATTAAAAGAAACAAAATCCAGCAATCGTTTTGGTGATCGGGCAGTATCCCACTATGGTCCTAGACTTTGGAATATTCTTCCAAGTATCATTCGAGATGAAAAAAACACAACTATTTATAAGAAAAAACTAAAATCATATTTAATGGTGAAGAGCAAATTATTCCACCAGAAAACTCTAGAATATTAAAAATTATAAAGTAATATAATAATTTATTGCACAGGTGAGCAAGTGTTTTGCCAGCTTACCCTTTATTTGGGCAAAACACAGTAGCTGTGGGTAAACCCATGTATTTATTTATTTATTGGATTCGACACCCCCAAAAATAGCTAGTTACAAATTTTTAAGTAAAAAAATCAAATATTTTTAAATTTACTTAAAACCTCCTTTTGGATCACTTTAACATCAAAGTCTGACAAAAGTGTAATATTTTGTCAGACTACGATGAAAAATATATTTTGATCACTTACAACAAGCAGCTTTCTTTAATCTGATCTGTAATAGCTTGGGACAAGTAGTGATTTGTGTATTTTAACTCTAATAAAACTTTACTGCTAACAACTATCAAAATATTATTGATACATCTATATGGCGAATAACAACCCTCTCACTCTCAGACAAGGTCCAAAGGCACATTGTATATAAAGTTGCTTTATCTGCAAAGTTTGAGCCACTCTCCTGTCATTGTGAGGTTGCCTCTCTTTGATTGTGCTCAAAGAAGCTATTATCTCTAATTCAATCAACCAAAACTCACTTTTGCTTGGTTTATCATTCAACAAAGTTGTATCCTTTTACTGCATCTGTCCCTTCATGCTCTAAACATTTTTGCTTATCTAGTTCATTTCAAGAAAATATATACTAAAAATTAGAAAAGTGTTTTTACTAATTTATTATTGCTCTGTTCTTTAAGAACATTGAGCACTCAATGCTCTTAAATAGAATATAAAAAACGCAATACATTTTTTTACATTTTCATTTTATTTTAAGCAATATCATGATTAAACTATAAATACTATTTTTCTATAAATATACAAGTTGTTTTTAGGAAATTTATTTAAAAAAAAATCTATTTAAACAAAATAATTTTAGTATTTTAAAATTCTTTTATTCAAATAATTTTGCTATTAAAATTTAAAATTGAAAAAAAAAATTTGGAAAATTGAAAAAAAGTTTAAAGAAACAAGGGAGAATAAGGAAAAAAGTTTTTTTTTTTGTAAATTGTTAATTTCATAAATGTTTTGAATAGTTAATTATATTTTATTTCTTGAAAATAGTTTTAAAAGTTAAAACATTCTATTGCAAACATTAAACCAGTGCACAGTGGGCCAAGATTGACATAAAATGGACAAAAAATTATAACTCCTTTACTTTTAAAATTGTAAAATCGAAATTTTTATCACTCTAGTCAACATAAAGATCTTTACAAAAATTTTTTTTTTTTTCTTTGCAGATGCAGGCACCAAAAACACCCTAATAGAAAAGGATGTATAGAGATTTTAGACATAACTTTTGGTTGTTTTTAGAAACAGTTTTTCCCAGATTCAAAGCATTAATCGATTAAAATATTTGTGACGTGTTAGACCCCCTTTAATTTAACAAAGAAACATTTATTTAATAAATATTATATCAGAAATTAGAGTGAAAATTCAAAACTATAAATTAAAAAAAAATTACATCAAAAGTTTAACACAATCTTTGTTAAGTTCAAGTTCTTTAATACATCTCTAACTCCTTCCTAGAGAGTTAATAATTAGATCTGAACTGCACAATAATCTTTGCATTATATCTTCATTTGTGATTTTTCTTGAATATTTTCTTGTAAAGTGTTTTCTATAATTCTTAACGTCTTTATTTCAACATTCCTGAAAAAAGACCTACTGGTACTGGTTTATCTCGTACAACTTGAGAACTATGAATTAGAATTAGAAAAAAGTGAAATTAGAAATGAATGAATGAAATTAGAAAAAAGAAAAATTAGAAATGAATAAATGAATTAGAAAAAAGACCTACTGGTACTGGTTTATCTTGTACAACTTGAGAACTATGAATTAGAATTTTATGTATAATTTGAGGCATTGGAAACCATGGGTACAGATCAACTTAAAGCTCTGCTGTTTCTTTGGTATATTTTTCAAGTTTATCTGCGTTAATTTGATGTTTGCATGATTAAACACAAAAAATTATGTAGAAATTTTTCATGAGATTTTTATCTAAGCCAAGTATTTCAGCAGACAACTTATCATTTTGGAAAACTTTTCGTGTCGTGTTTCCATCATTTGTTGTACCTGAACCACTGCTTTTTAATACATCTACAATTAAACCTAAGTAATCTTTCATCTTTTGTTGAACAATATCTTTTTTTTTCTAACCATTTCATTATCATCCTTTCCTCTATTTTGCCATTTTCCTAATTCAATTCTATAACTTATATGAAAGCAGCATTCAAAGCACCTTTTTTGTTTTTTCAGAAACTTGGGTAAATGGTATGGAATATGCACCTGATGGTCTTCAGTAGACAACCAATTTATATCAAAATAGATGATTTTATGATGTTTTTCACTATTTAACACAATTAAATAGTGAAAAACATCATAAGTCCATTACTTTAATTTTTATAAAATATCATATCTAAATTGTGAGAAGAAGTAGGAAAAAGTCAGAGTTTAGGCCCTTGTCTAGTTTATCTGTTTCAAAATATGCATCGCTTGTTTGTAGTTCTTTTTCTAAACAGATTTTGTAATGCAGATCAATTCTTGTGTTTGTTTACGTTATTTCTTTTTTGTTGTTGAACTGTTTAGAAAATAATTTGAAGTCTATGTTAGAGATCTCTGTAACTTTATAAGCATCAGGGTTGGTAACTGATTTGATTTAAGTTGTTTTCCAAAGCATGAAACAATTTTTGAGTAATTTCTTTAATTTTCATAGTGATTGGTAGAAGAAAATTTCAAGTTAAAAATATAATTATAGTTTTTTTAAAGTTTTTTAATAGGATTCGTATTTTGCATAATTAAAAACATTATTGATCATTAGCTGAAATAAGTTTAAGTTCATAAATAAAGTAGAACGGCATTATAATTTATTGTTTTTTGTAGTTTCTGTAATTGCAATTAATTATTTAGAGTTCATACTTAACAACAATGTGCTTTGAACAATTATAAATGACAAATTAGTTAAATGTTTAAAACTTGCTAAACATTAATTGGCGCAACTTTGCGCAAGACATTTTTAATGAGAAAACTTCTACAATATTAAGACACTGTAAAAAAGTTGATCCCATAGTGGAGAAATGTGGGAGAAAAAAGACCTTTAACCATTTATGGTAATTTTTTATTATGTTTTGTAATACTTTTAACTTTCATATTTGAAGTTAAAAAAAAATTCCTAAAATACAAGATTATTTTATTTGTTAAATTTTCTAAAATAAAGCATGTACCCTGATATTGAGATTATAAAATTTTAATAATATTTAAAAAAACTGCGCTTACAAAATGAAATTTAATTTTATGAGTATTTTTTATTTTATATA